GCTTCCTTCTAAGGTTTGAACCCCTACTAGCAGGAACTCAGAGCAAAATTTGGGAAGTTCCCCAAGGGGGGGGGCAATTTTGGAACTCTCAGTCAGTCTGCTGAGTTCTCAGCCCCTATACCAGGGGCAGGCTGGAACAGGCACTCTCTGGTGGTCTGCTGAGATCACAGCTACACAGATGGAGGTTGGAACCCACCCTTCTCAGGCTGTCTGCTAAGATCTCAGCCTTATCCTACCAAAGTGAGGTCTGCCCTGGGGCTTTGTGAGGGGCCTCACACAATCCCAGTTAGGGGGTTGGGTATAGCACAATTAGGGGAAGCTCACCACCATGTAGAGGTAGGATCCTAGTGCTCTCAGGCAGTCCCGAGTTCTCAGCCCCCATGACAGAGGGAGGCCTGAAACAGGCACTCTCTGTTGGTCTGCTGAGATCACAGCCACTACACAGATCCCAAACTCTTTCTTAGCACTTTGTTTTGTTAAAGAACTGGAGAACTTGATGGCTCAGCGGTTACGAACACTGGCTGTTCTTGCAGAAGACCCAGGTTCGAATCCCAGCACCCACACGGCAGCTAACAACTGTCTGTAACTCCAGTTCCAGGGTATCTGACAGCCTCTTCTGTCCTCTGTGGGCATTGCACGACACAGGAGCACTTACCTACATGCAGGCAATACACACATACGCATAAAAATAATAAATAAAATATTTAAAAAATCACTGGAGAAACAATTTACCCAGATCCACTTGGATGCAATGTCAGTTTGGTACAGTGGTACATATCTATACTCTCAAAACTCAGGAGGTTGAGGGAGGGATTGTCAGTTGGAGGCCAGTCCTGGGCTATACAGTAGGTTTCAGGTTAACCTCCCCTACTATCTAGCAAGACCCCAACTTAAAAAACAAAACAAACAGGGCTGGAGATAGCTCAGAGGGTGAGAGCACTGGCTGCTCTTGCAGAGACTGGGGTTTGAATCCCAGTACCCACATGGTGGCTAATAACCATCCATAACTCCAGTTCCAGGGAATCTGATGTCCTCTTCTGACCTCCACAGGATTTGCAAGACGCACTTACCTACATGCAAGCAATACACTCATACACATAAAATAAAAATAAATATTTTTAAAAACCAAAACAAATCCTCACAATCATCTACTAGTATATGACAGGCCCTAATTTGACCCCAATATGGCTGCAAAAGGTAAAAAAAAATAAAAGAAAATCCAGGCTGGGGATTGGGCACACGCCTGTAATCCCAGGAGGCAGAGGTAGGAGGATGGCTAATTTGAGGCCGGCCTGACCTGAGCTATGCTACATAGCAAGTTCCAGACCTGTCTGGAACTGAAAAGCAAAACTTTGTCTCAAAACAAAGGCAGGGGGTGGCAGGGAGGGCAGAGGAGTGAACAGGACCTCATGAGGAGGATTGCCCCCAGGAATGGGCAATGCAGGCCAAGCCAGGGCCAGAAGGAGGCATTCCAGAAGAGGGTGAAAGAGCCCAGGGTGGACTGTTAACATCTTTTCTGGGTTCATGTCCATCAATTTGATCATGAAATTTGCCTTTATTGGTCAAAGTTTCCATTCAACTGCCTCCATGATCCCAGATTTTTATGAACTGTACAGTCAGTTTGCCTCCCTCAAATCTGGGGATCCCACGCATCCATGTTGCTCTATCCATAGCCTGTGCCCTATGTTGAGGCTGAGGTTGCAAGAAAGACCCCTCTGTGGTAATTAGTGTTAACCATAAACTTGACGTGATCTAGACTCACCCAAGACACATGGGAAGACCATGGGACATTATTTTGATTCAGTTAATTGATGTGGGAAGACCCATCTTAATTGTAAGCAGAGCCATTCTCTGGGCAGGGGCCCCTGAACTGTATAAAGTGGAAGATGTGAGCTGAACACTAACATGCCTTCATCCCTCAGTTTCCTGACTGTGCCATGTGACCAGCTGCTTCAAGCTTCAGCTGCCTTGACTTCCCCACCACGATGGGCTGGACCTCGAACTATGAAATAAAATAAGCCCTTTCCCCCTTAAGTTGCTTTTGTCAGGGTGTTTTAACATAGCCATGGGAAAAGAAAGCAACACACCGTAACAGAGTCTGGGGAAACACTCAGCCAGACTGCAAGGTGAGAGGACTCAGCCTGAGAGAGCCATGAAAGGCATCTGCCTGTGTCACTGGAGAGGACTTGCTTGGAGCAGAATGTACTTTTCTGGCTGTGTCTCCCAGCATGGGGCTGGGACGCTGACTTTGATGCACAGGTGCTGCGAGTAGATGCTGTAGGCACAGTGTGCTGCTTGGCCACTATTCTGAGTGGAGCTGCCTGGAGGGCAGAGGCAGGCTGCAGCTAGTGGCAAAAGAGCCCCTCCTTCCCCCTCGCCTTTGTCTGGCTAGGTGGGAACCCCAGCCAGGCCCTTTCAAGTTGCACCTTTCACTTTGTGGTCTCTCGCACAGGAACATCAGGTTTAGGTGGCTTCCTCCCTGGCCCTCCCTCCACCCACCTCAGGAGCTTTCAGTGCATGTCCCAGCTAGGGAGGCTGCTGCCTCTGTTGGAATCTGGAGCCAGGTGATACAGAAGGTTTGTCCTTAGGAGACAGAAAAGAGATCAAGAGAGACTGGAGCCCAGGAGAGAGGCACCTCCCAGCAGACTAGCCTCCAGGTCATGAATGACCACCCTCCTCCTTCAAAGGCCTTCTGCTGGCTGGCTTCTCTCTGAGGGATCTATGAAAGTCTGCCTTCTGTGAGGTTCTCATCTGAAAAGACACAAAAACAAACCCAGGGCAGAGGCTTAATTATATCCATGAAGAACTCTACAAGATGTCTATCCACTCTGAGCCAGACATCTGAAGGCACCTCATTTCCTAAGGATCTAGTGTGAATATGGCACTAAGACTTCCTGCTCAGCTCAGGAACTTGCTGGTGGCTCAGCCTTGCTGTGTCGCACCTCTCCTTAGCCTCAGTCTGTCCAGACAACATGACGATAACTTTTCCCCACTAGGGTCATTGACTGACTTTAAGTGACTTCTCCCCCTAAGTGTTTATCTGTTTATGCTCAGTTCCTGCCTCCCCTTAGACCATGAGCTTCCTCAGGCCTCCTCACTCCTAAGTAACCAGCCCTGCTCAGCACAGGGGACATGGCAGGAAGTATTTCAACAGTGATGAGGAAAGGCCCTAAACAGAGACGCACACGGGCAACCTTCAATGAGCAGGGGGTCCTATTATTTCTGTTCAAAACTAGTTTTAAGTTTAACTCAATTAGTAACCCAGAACTGAAGGAACAACCGTTCTCTGGAGTAGGCCTGTGGTCAAGCGGGTCCTCTGTGGTCAGTCCCAGTGTCCCGATCATGCAGGACTCTGGCTCCAGTGTCTCATCTCACCCCACTGCCCTCTCTGGGTCAAGGACATGGGACTCCTTCCCCGGTTCAGAATTCCTGCTTTCTGCTCTAGGAGGCTTAGAGAGGACAGAAGCCTAGGCAGTCTGTAAGGGGAGGACACTACAGTCAAGCTAAAATCTTAAAAGTATGCAGTACCTCCGGGAGTCTGGCTCAGAGATCATCATTTCATAGGACTGTTTAGAGGCAGAATTAACCCTCTGGCCTTCTTTTTTCTCTCTCTCAGATGAGGACCCCACAGCACATGGTAGTCAGGTAATACCCAGGATAGTGTTAGGGTGTAGCTCCATACAAGAGCAATTGTCTAGCGTGTGTAAGACCCAGGGTTCATGCCCTAGCACCACAATTTTTCTTAATTTTAAATTTATTTTTTATGAGTGTTATATTTGCATGTATATATGTGCACCTGTGTCGTGCAATGCCTGAAGAGACCAGAAGAAAGCACTGATCCCCTGGAACTGGAGTTATGGATAGTTGTTATGGGTGCTAGGAACCAAACCTGGGTCCTCTGGAAGAGCAGCCAGTGCTCTTAACCACTGAGCCATCTCTCTAGATCCACAAAAAAAATTTTTTTGGTCTTTCTGAGACAGGGTCTCCCTGTAGCCCCAGCTGGCCTGGAACTCACTATGTAGACCAGGCTGGCCTTGAACTCACAGAGATCTGCCTGCCTCTGCCTCCCGAGTGCTGGGATTAAAGGTGTGTACCATGATGCCCGGCACAAATTTTTTTTAATTAAAGAAAATATAAAGCAAAAAGACACAGGAAGCCTGGTTAAATCCCAGCTTCAGATAAATAATAACTTTTTATTTATTTTATGTGTATGTTCTACCTGCATGTGTGTAAGTGCACTCCTGCGTGTGATGCCCATGGAGTCCTGAAGAGGGAACTGGATCTCTGGGAGCTGCAATTACAAGTGGTTGTTAGCTGCCATGTGGGTGTTGGGAACGGAGTCCAGGTCCTCTGCAAGGGCAGTCATTGCTCTTAATGACTGATGCATCTCTCCAGCCCTGACATCTTTTAAAATTAAAGCATATTCCAAGTGCTCACTGTTTACCTGAAATTCAGATTTAAACGGACAGCCTGTGTTTAACTTGCTACACACACCTCACGGCCTGACAGTGCTGGGCCTGGGTTCAAGCCAGGCCTTGCGCCTATGATGGTCACGTGACAGACATCCACCACGAAAAGGGGTGCTCCACCATCACTGTCAAAGTTGGGGTCCAGACCTTGCAGGCTCACAGCTGCATCTTCCTAAACACTGGGTGGTACTGGGTGCTGGACATGGTGCTGAGTAGGGTACTCGGGTTTCCAGCAAGCCCGGCGTGGGCCCTGCCACTCACCCACGGCCCAGCTCCAGGATGGCGTCAGAGAAGAGCTGCAAATAGCACCTCCCCAATGAAAGAAAAGAAAATCGACCCAAGAACATAGCTCGGTGTGGGCTTGATACCGCCTACCAGGTCTGGCCCTTCGAGCCTGCGCACTCTGCCTGACTGGGCAGGTTCAGTGTAGTGCGCATGCGCATTGTGCCTGCCTGCCCAGCGGAGGCGCAGCGCGCATGCGCACAGTTGAGGGCGGGAAGCCACGAGAGCCGGCGGCTTGGGGAGCGCCTCGCTCTGGCCGCCATCATGGCGTTCACGCCCACGGGGCCCGAGGCCTCGTTCTTCGACGTCCTGGACCGGCACAGGGCTTCCCTGCTGGCCATGGTGAAGACGGGTGCAGGGGAGAGCCCTGCCCAGGCCGCCCGCGGGGCCTCTAGGTACAGCCCGGGATGGAGGGCCGGGTCGGGGCTAGCCTCGGACGCCTGCCTGCCGCCTTCCAGGACGATTCAGGAGTGTTGCTGCAGCCCGGGCTTCCCAACGTCGTGCCTGGTCGGGAGCCTGGGATTCAATTGGACTTTGTATTTCTTTTTTTTTGTGGAGGGGATAACATTTTCGGTTTTCAGGATTTGGGGTGAGGGGTTGGGAGGGACGGAGAAAATGTTATTGTGCCCTGAACCAGCGAGTTCTCGGAATTAACGATGGCATATTTTATTTTAATATTTTATTACTTTTATTTTACATGTATGTGTACTGCCTGCATGTGTGTAAGTGCACCGTGTCCTGCGGTGCCCACAGAGGTCAGAAGAAGGTGTCAGATCCCCTGGAACTGGAGTTATGGATGGTTGTTAGCAACCATGTGGGTGTGGGAATAGAACCCAGGTCCTCTGCAAGAGCAGCCAGTGCCCCTAACCGCTGAGCCGTGTCTCCAGCCCCAGGACATCATATTTTAAGTGATTTATAAGATGTTTCTTCTTGACCTGCCAGGAAAGCTAATGAAAGTATTTGAAGTGATTTATTTAAAATCAACTACAGACACTCTCCTGCCACCCACGGAATTCACTACAGAAAATGTGTGTGTGATGGGCTTTTTTCTTCATGTGTTTTCCTGGTTTATTACCAGTTTTCATCATAAACACGTTACTTTTATTTTAAAGCCCAAACCAACTGCCCAAACCCCCAGAAGCAAACACATTTTTATAAAAGGATTTAGTTTGTGGTAGCGTTTTGGAGAGTGAGAGGAAAAAGGAGAGAAGTCCTTTGCTTACAACAAATACATGGATTAATATGATTACATCTTAAATTGCCTGAAACATTTCTTCCAAACTGTTCTAAACTATGGAAAAGTAATTTGCTAGCCTCTATCTAATAAGCATTAGAAAATGTTAAATGTGGGCAGGTGTGGTGGCCTACTCCTTTAATGCCAGCACTTGGCAGGCAGAGACAAGTGGATCCCTGTGACTTTGAAGCCAGCCTGGTCCACACTGTGAGTTCCAGGCCAGCCAGAGCTAAATGAGACCCTGTCCAAAAAGAAGAGAAAAGAAAAAAAGAAAATGAAAATGTTTAAAATTTTAATTTTCTGATCCATTTTGCTTTTTTTTTTCAAATATTATTTTATGTGTATTTGTATATTGCCTGCATGTAAGTAAGTGCACCCGTGTCCTGCAATGCCTGCAGAGGTCAGAAGAGGCTGTCAGATCCCCCGGAACTGGAGTTACAGACAGTTGTTAGCTGCCGTGTGGGTGCTGGGATTCGAACCAGGGTCTTCTGCAAGAACAGTCATTGCTCCTAACTGCTGAGCCATCATCTCTCCAGCCCCCATTTTTTCTTTTTGTTTTGCCTTTTGAGACAACGTCTCATTATGTAGCACTGACTGGCCTGAATCTGACTGTGTAGACCAGGCTGACTTTGAACTCACAGAATCACCTGCGTCCGCTTCCAAGTGCCCCCATGCCCAGCCCCGATCTAGTTTTTCAGTGAAAGCTTTGAAGTTTGTGTGGACGTTGAAACTCGACACTTTGCTCATTTTGTCCATTTAATTTTATTTTTCTTCCTAGGTAATAATGCCAATGTTACTTAGAACAAAATATTATTTTTAAGACAGGGTCTCCCTGTTGCCATAGCTGTCCTGGAACTCTATGTAGACCAGGTTAGTCTCAGAGATCTGCCTGCCTCTGCCTCTTGGAGTGCTGGGATTAAAGGTGTGTGTCACCACACTGGGCAGAACAATGTGGGTTTTTTTTGTTTGTTTGTTTGTTTATTTTTTTTGGTCTTTTTGAGACAGGGTCTCCCTGTAGCCCCAGCTGTCCTGGAACTCACTATGTAGACCAGGCTGGCCTTGAACTCACAGAGATCTGCATGCCTCTGCCTCCCGAGTGCTGGGAGTAAAGGCGTGTGCCACCACGCCTGGCAGAACAATGTTTTTTTTGAAGCTGGTTTGTGAAGTTAACTGCCAGCTGTCAGAAAACTGGGTCCATTCTTAATATTGTTGTGAAGTGGTGTGATGGTGGCCAAGTTAACCACTGAGTGCAGAACTCATGATTTATTACTTTTCCTTGTAAGGGTTCAACTTTTTCCTTTTGAGTCACTATAATTCAAAAATGGTTGATTTTTTTTTTTTAAGGCATGAGATCAATTAGGGCATTGTGCTACAAGAAACATTTCTTTTGAAATGTTTCTGTCTTGCATTTTTGGAAAAGAAATTCAAAGGCATATTACATCATTCTCAGTTAAAACACTTATCAGTAGTATTTTCAAGCCAAGTTTGTATTGAGGTTCAGCTACGTTAAAGTAAGTTATTATGGGGTTGGAGAGATGGTTCAGTGGTTAAGAGCATTGGCTGCTCTTCCAAAGAATCAGGGTGTGGTTCCCAGTATCCACATGGCAGCCAACAGTCATCTGTAATTCTAATTCCAGGGAATCAAATGCCCTCTTCTGGCCTCCACAAGCACTGAATGTACTTGGTGCACTTACACAGATGCAGGCAAAATACTCATAGATGTAATATAAAAATAAAACATTTTGAGTTCTTAAAAGCACTTGTAAGTTATATTAGCTAATCATTAATACAAAAGCACTATTTGAGAAATGAATTTTCAAACAAACCAAATGTCTTTGTAAGTAACCAGTGTAAGTACAGTTGTTTTAATGCATACTGAGGTTGGAATTTAGTGGGAGAGGGTTATTGACATGGATTTCAAAGCTTAAAAACAGTGAGAATTTGGATGTGGTGGTCCACAGCTATAATCCCAGCACTCAGGAGGCCAAGGCGCAATTGTCAGTTTGAGGCCAGCCCAGGCTTCATGGTGAGTTCTAGGCTAGCTCTGGTTTCCTAGTGAGACCTTGTTTCTAAAGTAAAACAAAAACCAGTGAAATAAAGTTAGGTTTGTATTGCTCTGGGAATGTGACACTGTATAAAGACATACTGTGTAATTAAATCGAATCGCGTTGTGTTTATTATTTCAGCTCTGAGGTTCTCACATCTATAGAAAATATTATCCAAGACATAATCAAAAGTTTGGCAAGAAATGAAGCACCTGCCTTCACAGTAGACAACAGATCAAGCTGGGAAAACATAAAGTGGGCATTTTGCAGTTTTGTTCTTTAAAATTTATTATTTATGTGCATGTGTGTGTGCATGTGTGTATGTGTCCATATGTATAGGTGCCCATGGTGACCAGAAGAGAGGATCTGACCCCCCTGGAGCTGCAGTTATAGGCAGCTGGGAACTGCCTGACCTGAGTGCTAGGCACTGAACTCCATTCCTCTGCAGGAGCAGCGAGCGCGCTTAAACGCTGAGCCAGCTCTCCAGCCCCTGCAGTTTTGTTTTGTATGAATGAGTGTTTTGCCTGCAGGTAAGTGCATGCAGTGCTCATGGAGGCCAGAAGAGGGCATCAGATACCCTGGAACTGAAGTTATGGATGGTTGTCAGCCTCCATGTGGATATTGGGAATTGAACCCAGTCCTCTGCAAGAGCAGCCAGTGCTCTTAACTACTGAGCCATCTCCCCAGCCCCTGCAGCTCTTTTGAAAGGATGATATTTATTTTTGTCTTAGAGTGTTTTGCCAGCATGTATGTAAGTGCACCACATGCATGCAGTGCCTGTGGAGGTTAGAAGAGGGCATTGGATCCACTGGTTTTTTTATGTAGACCAGGCTGGCTTTGAACTCACAGAGATCCGCCTGGCTCTGCCTGCAGCTTTATTTTTAAATGCAGGATCTATGTTGTCGTCTAGACATCTGAATTAAGTCTTCTAGCCACATTTCACTCTTTTTATTCTCTTTATGCAAGCCCCTAAAAATTTGCAGGTAAGGCCGGGTGTGGTGGCGCATGCCTGTAGTCCCAGCACTTGGGAAGCAGAGGGAGACGGATCTCTGTGAGTTCAAGGCCAGCCTGGCCTATACAGTGAGTTCCAGACCAGCTGGGGCTACAGGGAGACCCTGTCTCAAAAGGACAAAAAGAACCCAAAAAACAAAAAGCCTGGCAGGTTTACAGAAGCCATAGTACAGGGAGGCTGCCGGAACTCAGTCAGTGTGAAAGAGGAAAGGCAAAGGAAAGGTGAACCTGGCAGCCCAAAACGTGGAGCACTGAGAGGCTGGGATTCAAACTGTCCACCCGAGCTCCGAACGAGTAGTAAGCATGAATCTGCACTTCCCAGCCTAAAGGGAAACATCTTGGGTGCAGTTGTCCTGTATGCTGCAAGGCCTTCCTGGGGCGGCTGCAGTCAGTGCTAGTGTGCAGACCGCAGCTGGAGCACCTGAACACAGCACAAACAAGGCTCAGTCCTCACCATTTACCCCTGCTTCCTCTGGCAGCCTTATCCAAGTCCTCCAACCTAGTGATAGTTTTGGGTTTTCCAGCCTGTACAGCCTTCTCTCCTGAGTTACAGGAAACAGGGTGGGACTGGTTCTCAGACTTGGTGCAAATTGCAGAGACAGAGTAAGAGGGATGAGGTGTTTTATGATCAGTATAAAAGCATAAAATGTATACTTTCGCACTGTGTTTTGAAAGATGGATTTCACACCACTCCAAAGCAGCTAACGTATCTTTACCAGGTGCCTTCTGCCGCCTGTAGGAGAGGCTAGGAGGTTCAGTCTAACAGCATTGTGTCAGTAGTTCACACAGTGTCACACTGTGGGTAGACTGAAATTTTATTTCAAAACTTAGCCAAATTATTAAATAAGAAAGAATAAGGGTAAAATGAGGTAAATATGTGTAGATACTTCATGTACACTTTCTTCCCAACAAAGAAGTACACACACACACACACACACACACACACACACACACACACACACACACAGGTATTTAGCATAGTTAAACACCCTAGCCTAGTGTTGCAGTTCATCCAGAAGCTAGTTACTAGTAACCACCTGATTGATTTAAACCTTCAGATGTTCCTAAAGCTCAGTGCTTATATCAAGAAATACAGGACTTAGGGACTGGGAGATGGCTCAGTGGGTAAGCTGCTTGCTATATACCCAGGAGAACCTGAATTTGGCTGCACAGCACCCACACCAAAAGCCAAACACTGAGGCCTGTGTCTGTAGTCCTGGGACGGGGGAAGTAGACAGATGGATCTCTGAATCTCACCAGCCAGTCTAACCTAATCGGTGAGCTCCAGGACAAGAGACCTTGTGTCATAAAACAAGGTAAATAGTGCCTGAGGAATGATACTCCATGTTGACCCTGACCTCTGCACATGTGCACCACATAAACACGTACCCGTATACAAACACATGCACACAGGAAATGGGGACTCAAATACAGAAGGGCACCTGAAATGTGTGTTTGCTGCTGCGGAAATGAAGCCTTTTCACTTTATTCCTTTGCTTTAAACCAAATGACAGGTTTGAAGACTCTGTTGGCCTTCAGATGATACCTCAGTGCGCGACAAGAAAAATCAAAAGTGATTCACCAAAATCAGTTCAAAAATTCGGTAAATCTGTGGTTGAACTGAGTAACGGAGAAAAGCGAATCGGTTATTTTCTAGGGTTTAGCTGGTCCTACTTAGATGATCTCACTTGTTCTTTAATAGATAATTTGTCCTTAAATTTCTCGTTTTCATCGTCAGTAACAATGAAAGCAAACTGTCATTTCCAAAGTAAACGTACTGTTCAGGACATAGGGTTCAGGGGAAAATTACTCTCCATTTTGCTGCCCACAAAGCAGTTTATTTTACCTGATTCTTTGGACAATTATTCTTAACCATTTTCTTTTGGAAAAAAAAAAACTTCATGTTACGGACAGTCATTGGGACACTTAAAATTGTTTAAGATTGACTTTTATTTTTAATTATTTGTATTCATGTGTGTCTGTGTGGGGTATGTGCACATGAGTGAAGGTGCCCATGGAAGCCAGAAGCATTGGCTCCCCTTGGAGCTAGACTACAGGTGGCTGTGAGCTGCTCAGCATGGGTGCTGGGAATCAGTCTCTGGTCTTCAGGTCCTTTGCCAGAGCAGTACGTGCTCTTGACCTCTGAGCCATCTCTCCAGTCCCAACAGTTAAAATTTTTGATAGCAATATCTTTTGAATTAGTCAAAAAAAAAAAAAACAAACTGACAGGTCAATTGTTGCATTTTATTTTCCAGCTCTAATTCTGAAAATATTATCCATGATTTATAAGTTAATACAGAGTAACACTTACGCAACCAAAAGGTAAATATATTGTTCTGATAAATTAGTCTTCAAATGCAATGTGAGCTTTAGTTGCATTACCTTTTTAAATATTCTTTGAAAACTCATGTAAAACTTGACCCAGGGTAACAAAACCTTCATATGTTGTTTCACTCAGTGAAAGTTTTATTCACATAATACTGGTACTAGTCATGCTCAAAGAAGATATGGATAATTAACAATCTCTATCCTAAATTTTCACAGAGACATATACTACACTGACAGCCAGCTCTTCGGTAACCAGACTGTTGTGGACACCATTATAGATGACATTTCCTGTATGCTGAAAGTGCCCCGGAGGAGCCTGCATGTGGTGAGCAGCACTAAACAAAAATATTCTACCGCAAAACAAAGTATGGGCATAAAAATAAATGTCGATTTGTCTTTCGTGTCATTTGAGACTATACCAACATAATCTGTTGTCTTCCTTTGACAGAATGGACCAAAACAGGGAGACAGTCAACTATTTTTATTTCCTGAACACCCTACACATTTTCTCCTTTCGTCTCTATCTGGGTTCTGATTGAAGCTAAAATACAAACAATTTAACAGGTGAATGTGAGGCTTTTATGCAGCATCATATACATTAGTGGGAAATGTTTCAAATATTTTTTTCAGTTATCTACATCCAAGGGATTAATTGCTGGCAATTTAAGGTACGTGGAAGAAGATGGCAGCCGAGTGCACTGTTCCTGTGGTGCAACGGTAAGCACCCTCAAATGCTCAGTTCTCCTCCATTTTGAAATGTATTTTATTTCTTGCTTTATTGGGTTAGAAATAAGATTTTTAAATTCTTTTGTTAATGTTTATTAGTATTTACCAAAAAACCTACAGCATATAGGAGTATTCAAAGAATGAGAAAAGTATAACTTAAAACATATTTCTCTGTAGGGTGACAGCATTTTGTGGAATCACATGTGTAATTTTTTATTTATTTTTATTTTATGTGTATGAGTGTTTTGCCTGCATGTATGTAGGTATACCACATGCATTCAGTGCATGTGAAGGCCAGAAGAGGGTGTCGTATCCCCTGGAACTAGCGTTATAGACAGGTGTTAGCTGGGAACTGTACCCCATCCTGTGCAAGAGCAGCCAGTGCTCTTAATCACTGAGCCATCTCTACACCCATTGTCAGTAGTAGTAGTAGTAGTAGTATTCTTTGTCAGAGGACAACCTTCAGGAGTGAGTTCTCTCCTTCCATCATGGGTTCCAGGGATTAAACTCAGATCATCAGGCCTGCATGGCAAGCACTTTTACTCTGAGCCATCTCTCAGGCTCTAGAGATAAAGATTTTAAAATAAAACAGAAAGGGTAGATATGTGCTCTGTGGGACTCTACATCACACAGCTTAAAAGTATGCCAGTTGTCACAATGAAAGACACACACACATGCTCCCTTTAAAAACTGTGCTGTTCTTTCCAAGTAGAGTGTGTCTTGACCATTTGCTCATGGTTATTTATGTAATCTGCGTGGTTCTAAAATGAACACACCTAGTCCTAAACTTGTAGGCTTTGGTCTATAGAAAGCCTGAAGGCAGTTCGATGGCCTGGTGCTCCATCAGGACAGGACTAAGCAGTGCCCATGAGATCCTATGAAGGAGTTCTCTTCCACAGAGTCTGCTTCTTAAGCCACAGAAGTGTAAAGCTTCCAAGAGAGTTTCCCTTCCTGGAAGTTGTGTGGGTCACATTTCAGTTTTCCCATGAGGGGCTCTTCTGTTTCCTGATGTTTCCTCGCTGAGCAAAAGTCTCTGTGACTACTTCATCAAAGAGAAATGAAAGCTTAGGATTTTTGTGATAAATTGTAAAATGTTGTTACTCTTTTTAATTGAAATAAAAACTGTCTTTTTTTTAACTTAGGCTACTGCTGTGCCATCTAACATTCAGGGAATCCAGAGTATCCTTTAGGTGGTAAACTATTTAAACTGGAATGTTCATTTGTCCCTTTGATGAACTAAACCTTCCTAGTATGTAACAAGTTAGACCCTGTGGCCCTTCTTTAGGGCTCTTGGGAGCTCACTGTGGAGTAGGAGAGGCAGATACCTAAATATATGGGTGAATATATTTATATATTTGAAGGTAAAATGAAAACATTCTGTCTATAGCTGCTTTTGAGTTGAGCCATATGGCCTGTAGTGTAGCTGGTAATGAAGCTGAGATGCTCGTCCTTCAGTTTATCATCCTTAGCTTCACAGACCTAATTACGGACGCGAAGTTTCTCCTAATTGTAGAAAAAGATGCAACATTTCAACGACTCCTAGACGACGACTTTTGCAGCAAAATGTCTCCATGCATCATGGTTACGGTACAGTCCCACCTTCACCTCACGGCTCTGGTGATGGACAAGGCAGGCTCAAACATTGTCTCTGTGCACCATTCTCCTTCCAATAGAACCTATCACATGGCATCATGGAAGAGAAGCGTCCAAGATGTTTATCTCCACATCCTCAAAGCTGACTAAATTCAGATGAGGGTCTCTAGTCCTTTTTTTAAATATTTTATTTATTATTTTTATGTGGATGCATGTATTGCCTGCATGTAGGTAAGTGAACCCATGTTGTGCGATGCCCGTGGAGGACAGAAGAGTCTGTCGGATCCCCTGGAACTGGAGTTACGGACAGTTGTAAGCTGCCATGTGGGTGCTGGGATTCGAACCTAGGTCTTCTGCAAGAAGAACCAGTGTTCTTAACCACTGAGCCATCTCTCCAGCCCAAGAGTCTCTATTATTTTTTTTTTTGTCTTTTGTCTTTTTGAGACAGAGTTTCCCTGTAGCCCCAGCTGACCTGGAGCTCACTATGTAGACCAGGCTGGCCTTGAACTCACAGAGATCCGCCTGCCTCTGCCTCCCAAGTGCTGGGGCTACAGGCATGCACCACCACGGCCGGCGGGTCTCTATTCTTAAATACCAGGATTCTGCAAATCTGGGTTCCTTTCCACTGGCATTCTGTGCTTCCCTCACACCTTCCTTCAGGTACTGTGCTCCCCCGGGGCTCCATCAGGGCTGACTGAACAAGGCTGCTCCTTGTTCTTCCTCACACAGATTTCTAGCCCAGGTAACTTCATTAAGGCAGTCTAAAGGAGTTGACCTTTTTCAAACATAAATGTGCAAAGGAGTGAGCTATGACTCCTATGGAACTGCAGGCACGGCTCAACAAAAGCCAGAGCCTCAGCCAGTGCAGCAGCTGGCACAGAATGCAACAGGCTGCATGGCTTACCTGGCAGACATCTACTTCTCATAGCTCTGCATCTGGGGACTCCAAGATCATGGTGTTGGCAGATTCACTGTCCAGAGCCCCCTTCCTGATTCTCTAGGAGACTGTCTTCTCATTTTGTCCACACATGTGGAAGAGGGGAAGACAGAGACACAGGACAGGGCCTTTCTGTGGTCCTTTCATAAAGGGCACTAATTTCATTCAGGGATTCCATCCTTATGACCTAATCATACCCCAAGAACCCCACCTCCTGATACATCATATTGGAAGGTAGGATCCCTACATGCATGGGGGGGGGCATGAACATTTGGTCCATTGTAGGACCTTCCTGCTGCCTGGTGATGTGGCGGGGGTGGTTCATGAACCTGGAGTGATCAGTTGAACTGGCTTAAGGAGGAAAGAAGTAGAAAGAAAGCTTGGGGTATGCACAGGTGGAGTGACTGCAGAGGGTGGACCAGGAGCCCTTCCTCTGTGAGCTCTTCCCAGCCTTCTGCTCTGACCTGTGGAGCCTCACTGTAGTGTCACCTTTGATGTCCATGGGACAAGTTCACAGGAACCCAGCTCTTCATGGGAGAAAGTTCTTAGTGTGATTTCAGATGCATGCAGTTGGGGAAGTGGCAAGAAATCAGTAGCATCTGCCTAGTTGAAAGAGCCAAGAGCCAAGACAGAAAATGAAGACAGAGCCCCTAAGTAAATGAGACTTCATCTGTGCCCTGAAAATAGCAGATCTCCAGGGTGTCTCCTGTGTATAGCTGTGACCCAGCCCTCTTCTTTTACATCTGTATGTTGACCAAGAGCCGAGTCACCTGAGCCAGTCAGAGCTGCAGTGGCTGAGGTGTTGCTGGGAGCTTGGAGTTTGGATCACATCTGGTGATCTGCTTTGGAGTTGCACATAAAATGCACTCAGTGTCACAGTTGAGTGACGAGAGGGTATAACAGTGATGATAAAAGGATATCACACTTTATTAGTCTTTCTTCACATGGCCTCCCATTCCTTGCCTGAATGCATGAACACAGAACTCCATGTTTGTGCTACGGCAGTGTCTGTTGGTAATTGATCTAGGTACTGCTGTGAAATGCCCACAAGAAACTACCGTATGGTATCCAGGCCCTGAAGGAGCACTGGCCTGAGGATCAGGCTGGGAAGCACTTGTCTCCCACATGGCTCTCCTGGGCTCATGTCTTTTCTTTGCCCAAAGGAAAGAATTCAAACATACCGCTGCTCCTGAATGATTGTGCTGCACTCAGCACACTGCCGTTCATGGGTACTGCTGCTTGTCACAAGTCGGCTTTTCGAGATTCTTGGCAGTTTGGGAGATCAGTGTGGTCATCACCCCCACTTCAGTCACAGGTTCTGCTGGGCAGGAAGGTATCGCACCACGCTCCTGTGCTCAAAACCAGGAATCGCTCAGACAGTCCAGCTCCGGGTTGCTATAGTGCCAGAACTCTGGGTGGCAGATGGCATCACCCTGGCTTTACAGAGAGGGCCAGGTGTCATAAGATGAAGAAACCTGCCCAAGACACACCTGGTATGCTGGCAGCTTCAGCTCAGCCCTGAAGCCTGTTCCTCACAGCTGCCTGTGCTCCACTCCCTCTTGCTCTGTCATTCATTTTGGTTTTCTGCTTTTCTCCTTTGTTTTTGTAATGCCCGTTACATTTCTAGCCAGTTATGGGACTGCACACTTGTAATCTCAGCGCTTGGGAGACTGAAGCAGGAGGATCATCTTAAGTTCCATGATAATTTCCTACAATGACCTTATGAGTTCTAGAGCCCCAAACCAAAGGGAGGCCTCATTACTCATTTAAGTTCATGCCACGAAAATGTGCGGAGGCAAGATGGCCACCAGGATGTTAGGACCCATGGCACTTGTCCATGCCTGTGCTTAGACATTTGGGCTAGGTTTTATGTTGATGCTGCTTACCTTTGGCCATTTTTATTTATTTTTCTCTGTGTGTTTTTGTGCATGTGCTTGGGTGCGTGTGCCATGGTATGTGTGTAAAGGTCAGGGGACAACTTGTGGGAGTCTCTTCTACCATGTGGGTCCTGGGGATTAAACTTAGGTCAGACTTATTAGCGAGTGCCTTTACCATCTTGCTGCCCCTCCTTTTGCCATTTTTCACAGAGATCCTGCCTCAGGGTTTATTTGTAAAACCAGTACAGTTTACCAGTTGTCTGTAAACAGTGTAAGGGATGGAGAGGTCGCACCAGTCCATTTGTTCTCATATTGGTAGTCAGGCCTTTACTGTGGGGGCCTTCGAAGGAGCCTGGGCACCTTCAGAGCCTGAGCTACAGCTGGAGCAGGAGCTGCAGCCCTGGCTTGGTTTGGCCTTGGCCTGTCGTTGGCAGAGCCTGCGACTCTTGGCCATGTAGCCACAGATCTGCTTCCCAAGCTTGGAGTGGGCGACAAGAACAGTTTGGAGGTAGAGCTATGGTTGGACCCTTTGGCATCTGGGGCTTAGGCCTTGCAAGAGTCTTGACAGCCTTTGCGAGTGTGTTACCTTTGCATTGTTTGCCTGCATGGTCCTCACGTCCACGTCCATCCACCCCTTAAGGGAGTCATTATCGGTATGACGGGTCTGTGTGCAATCTCCAGGACTGTTTGTGTGCTGTGCTTCTTGTGGACGTGTCCCCATGTCCACACAGTAGCATTTGGCTCTTGAAGCACCTGGTACTGGAAGGGAAAAACTCCTTTGCCATTTTAAATCCCACTACAACGAGAACCTTTAAGTATGTAGGGCTTGTATTTCTGTTTCTGCTGAAGTGTTTCCTTGAGGTCAGGCCCTCACAGTCAAGGCAGAGGTGTGAACAGACAAGTCTCCTTTTCCCAGTTTGACTGCACATTTTCCTCACTGTCAACCCCAGACTCTCCAACCTGAAAGTCTAGGTGGGGTCTCACTTTGCCATGTTGATGAGGTGAGGGCCCAGTGCACCTACTTCTACTGGGACCGCAGTGCCTAGTTTCTGTCATCTTTCAGGGAAAGGGAGTTCCAGATCTGAACACAAGACTGTTAGTGAAGAAGCTATGGGACGCGTTTCACATTCCTGTTTTCACACTGGTGGATGCCGATCCCCATGGTAATCTCTCCCTGGACTATTCAGAACAGCAGTCATGACTAACTCGTATTTTTTTATTGTTTTCTGATCTTAAAAAACTTTCATAAAAGTATTTTAAGGGCTGGGAAGATAGCTCCATGGTATAGTACTTGCCTAGCATGATGCCCTTGGTGCAATCCCAACATAGTAATCAATAATGTTAACGATATTTAAGGGGATAGTAAAACATTCAAATTAAAAGCTATAATCATTTATGGCAGTATACAGTTATGTTTGTCATATTGAACTGAGAAGTTTTTAATTGGTAATATTCACAGAAATAAAAATTGTAGATGTTAGAATGTGAGCATGCAGATTCCCTCAGCTGTGATCCATGTCAATAACTTCACAGTTAACTTTCAACAGGCATTGAGATCATGTGCATCTATAAGTATGGATCCATGGTAAGTGCAGAAATGTGTGTCTGTCTCCTTCCACCATTTAGACAGTCTGCAGTCATTGGGATGGTTTATTTATTACCCCTTCTAAGGCTCCCCAGAATGTCCATGGGGAAAGTGATGTCTTCTTCTTCAAGGGCCAGTCTGTGCTTCAGTGGCCTTGAGTCCAGCTCCTAGCATGAACAGTGCACCCACAGATGACAGAGACATCATCCTGCCATCTTCAGCTCCTAAAGAGTGTCAGATAAACTGTAAATTCATATGTAGTCTCCAGTTCTGACTTTTCCAGTCTTGTGGCTCCCACAGTGAGAGAAGGGAAAACCACCAAGTCCCCGGCTAGTGACCGTGTACACCTGAGTGGTTTCTCAGAGTATGGCCTCAGCACCTCTTGAAAACTTGGTAGAACTGCAAATCCAGATTCCCCAACCTGCTGAGCCTGCATCTCAGTGAGTCAGAGACTTGGCAGAGTTCTTGGCAGAGAAGAGGATGGCCAAGCAGGGTGGGAGGTACAGGACCACAAACAGAAATGAGTGCAGGCTGAAAGAGCAGAGTAAGACAGAAATGTTCCAGAGCACTCGGTACCATGTGCTTCCCAGACCAGCTGCCACTAGAAAGCTAATTCTCTGAGCTAGCTGCACCTGACACAGGTCTGGTCTTTATTTCAGTCGATGTCTTTCGAAGCCCACAGTCTCACAGTTCCAGCGATCAGATGGCTTGGTCTCCTCCCTTCTGATATTAAAAGGTGAGATGCCAGAGCAGAACCAAGATGTTTAGAATGATGGCTCAGTGCAATACATAGTTATACACCTGAAAGCCACCGTAAGGGAACGCACCCCTTCTTGGTCTACATTGTCCACTATGACTTGTGATTATATGGTTATGAATTGAATGTATCACAGTTTCCATTACTAAAACAGTTAATTTAATTTCACTTTCAGCTAGCTTACAATCATTTTTATAATTATGGTCAAGCCATTCCATAAGTTTTTAGAATAATGCATGGAGCAGGGATGGTGATAAAATTGTGGTCTAGTGCTCAAGAGACTGAGGCAGAAGGGTACTGAGTTGGAGGACAGCCTGAGCTACAGAGTGAGACCCTGGCTCAAAAAAACCAAAACAAAACTGAAAATCCACACCTTTAATCCCAGCACTAGGGTGGCAGGTACAGGTGGGTCTCTGTGAGATGGAGGCCAGCCTGGTCTACTTAGTGAGTTCCAGGCCAGCTGAGGGTACAGGGAGACCCTGTCTTAAAAAAAAAAAAAAAAAAAAACCAAAAAAACACCACCACCAAAAAGCCCCAAACGAAACCCATCGGAAAATAAGTAGAATGCACCCCTGGAGTTAGACCGACACTGGCAGTGTCAGTTGTCTTGTATTCAACTCTCCCTGTCATCGAACACTAACTTTATTAAGTCATCTTTCTATCAAAGTTTGGGACCCCTAGTTACATGAAGTTTAGGGTCCTCTGAAGCGTGGCTGTCTTGGGTGTCAGGTCTAACACACTGTTCAGTGTGCAGAGACACCGAGGAGCAGGGGAAGCACCTGCAGCTGAGCAGTTCTCTGCTCAGCCAGTGTCGCTCCTCGAAAGATCTGACTGTGCTCTACTGTCTTTTTTAAATGTGTATGAGCGAGTGCACTGCCTACACGTGTGTTAGTGCACCTGTCATGCAGTGCCTGCGAAGGTCAGAAGAAGGCATCAGAGGCCCTGGAATTGGAACTACAGATGGTTATTAACCACCATGTGGGTGGTGGCAATTGAACCCTGGTCCTCTGCAAGAGCAGTCAGTGCTCTTAACCACTGAGCCATCTCTCCGGCCCCCTTTACTGTCCTTTTATAATCTGCTTGTTTGTGCATAACACAATACAATCACTTTCTTGTATCAATAAATGTATCTCTGTCCTGTGACCTCATGCTAATAGCCCTTACTCCTGCATTCCAACTCTCCAAGCTGGTGTTTGCTCAGCTGGGCCCTCACAACTGGTCAGTAGAGATGTAGCTGCCACATCGATGTGTCCTCTGACAGCCTGACCTCTTACCTGCGTCTTTACATAGTCTGAGGGTTCCTAGTGGCTTGATGGGGCCTAGTGTATTCGAATTCTTCAGACTTTGCTGGCCCTGAGTGGGTTCACTGATTTGCTCCCTGGAGAAAGTGAGTCTACCTGCCCTCACTAGTGCTCTGCTGGTGTGAGCTTTTCAAATGCTTTCTTGCTGTTTTCATTTGTCAGTAAGAGGTTACAGATGCTTATTTCCTAAAACATGGGGGCCTGTGAGATGACAAAATGAGGGCAGTACAGGAGCGTTCAGTTCTGAGTTTTCCATATTCACATCCAGTGTGTGGTCATGATCCTTTGGAGGTGACCTATATGCACAAAGGTCATTTCTAACACATATTTGGGACAAAGGGCCTGAAAGCTTTTAAAGAAGAGGTCCTGAAGAAACTCTAGCTCGGTCTCATAAATTCTACAGTGCCCTCCAAACCACTGCATACAGATACATGATCAAAGGAAAGTCATGCTTCCAGGAACAGTGCTAGGCCCTTCAGTCACACCCACCAGGAGCTGCCCCTGGCAAATGCCAGTAACAATGGGGTACTGAGAAAGGCTGAAATTGGAGCGCTTCTGGGAAATCTCAGATTTGTGACTTCAAAAAGATTACAGTGGGGGCTGGAGAGATGGCTCCGAGATTAAGAGCACTGGCTGCTCTTGCAGAGGGCCCGGGTTTGATTCCCAGTACTCACATGGTGTCTTAACAACCGTCTGTTATCTCCAGTTCCAGGGGATCCAATGCCCTCTTCTGATGTCTGCAGGCACTGCGTGACATGGGTGCACTTTCATGCAGGCAGGCAGGCAATACATGCATACACATAAAATGTTTTTAAAAGCTTACACTATAAATCCCAGACCCCTCATGTTCTATTTTGAAAGCATATACCAAGATAAAATTATATTCTACTTTTTTTCTATTTAAAACTAGAAAAATGTATGTGTCCATGTGCATGCACACAAAAGTGAAAATGATAAATGACCACTGCCCAGAACCTTCAATGAATTGCGAGATTTAAGTAGATAGTAGATAGCCACTAAGACTCGGAATCCTGAGTCTCAGCCACAGGCCACTCGCTCTGGAGCTCACGGCTCTGGGAGTAGGAGGCTATGGCTTATCCACACTCACTTAGCCCAGTGTGCATGAGTTCAGGGCTATGGGCATTTGTTCAGTAGCCAATGTCTGTCTGTCTGTCTGTCATCATCTAATGATGGTGATGAAGAATACCAGAATCCATTTCTATGAAAACACAGACTTGTACTTGGAACTTGAAAACTCTCCTGGCCAAGGACATGATGTAGCCCCCAAACACTGGGTTTAAGAGAGAAATTTGGACTAGTTTTCTTATTTTTCTGAGTTTGTTGAAATAATATTATAAATATGGGCAACATATATATGCTATAGGAACAGTTTTTTTTTTTTTTTTTTTTGGTCTTTTTGAGACAGGGTCTCCCTGTAGCCCCAGCTGGCCTGGAACTCACTATGTAGACCAGGCTGACCTTGAACTCACAAAGATCCTCCTGCCTCTGCCTCCCAAGTGCTGGGATTAAAGGCGTGCACCACCATGCCTGGCAGGAACAGTCTATTTTTTATTGATTGCTTCCTTCTCTTTTTTTTTTTCCCAGATTAAATATACCTAAGGATAGTCTGATCCCACTGACAAAGCATGACCAAATGAAACTGGACAGCATCCTGAAGAGACCTTACCTCACCTGCCAGCCACACTGGAGGAAAGAGGTAGATGATGTGCTTTGTAAAATGCAAACGCTGTGAGTTTACTCCTCTTCCTTCCTGGTAGCTGTTCACACACAACCTTCAACATGTCCTTGACAGTTGTTTTGTTTTTCATCACTGCTACTGACTTTTAATCCATATTTTTAGTTAGTGTACAAAACAATGGGTTTCGTGATGGGGGTAGTATGCATGCTTTTAATCCAAGCACTCAGGAGGCAGAGGCAGGAGGATCTCTGTGAGAGCTAGACCACCCTGGTCTACACCGTGAGTTCCAGGCCTACTGGAACTATAGGGAGACCCTGTCTCAAAAAACCAAAAAATAAATAAATAAATAAAGGGCTTCATTATGACATTTTCATACATCTGCCCTGTGCTCATTTTGTCGTCTCCCCCGACTCCTGCGGGTAGGTCCCACCCTCCCCTAGCACAGTCCCTTCTGCTTTCAAACATGAAGACGTAGACATACATTTACAGAGGGGAGAACATTGCCATAATTTGACTTTCTTCTCCATTACACTCCCTTGTTCCCCTTTCCCCCACATAGTACCTCTTCACCTCCATGTCCCATATATATATATAAATCTGGATCCTGTATGTGGAAGGAAACATGCCTTAGTTATCTTTCTGAGTCTGGCTTATTTCCTTGAAATTTTATGTAACCAACAGTTGACATTCATGTAGTTTGGCATGAATGTTGTGGAAATTGCATCACATGAAAGGCGGTGATCGAGACCAGCAGGATGCAGATGTCTGTTTTCCCTTTGTAGTTTTGTATACTTTATCAGTGATGGCATCGCAGTTTATGGGATTAAAAAAAGTGAAAAATGTAAATGTCCCCGACCACTTATAACTCTTGAAGGCCTTATACTGGTGTTCTCACCTTGGTATTTTTACCTGCTCTAGAATATCTGGCCGACCCTAAAGACTATCAAGCCTGCTGTTCTTGACAGTAACATAGGCATAGGCTGACTAGCTTGCACAGACCCTGGTATAACACTGTGGTACCTTACTGCAGATGGAAATGATGGCAGACTCTAAGATGAAGGCAGAAATCCAAGCCTTGACCTTCCTGTCCTCAGACTATCTTTCCAGAGTGTACTTACCCAACAAACTGAGATTTGGAGGATGGATATAAAATTACAGCAAAGGAACTTGTCATCAGAGATTTCTATCAGCTTGTTTTAATCGGTAAATATTGTACAGAAGGAATATATGTTACTAATTCTGTAATGGTAAAGATAATTTCCAAACATAATTATATGTTTTGCTGAAGCAAATTCTATGTTCTAATTTTATTTAGAAGGTTTTATCTTCTGTAAAGATTGACTTATATTATGTGTTCTAGAGTAATCATAAAAGAATTTAATTTTAATTTTTATTAGAAAAACTCTTACATGCTATAAAAGTCTATTAAAATGTTTAATTTCTACAACATAACTAAGTATCTCATTAGTAATAAAAATAACACTCTAAATTTCAGATGTTGCAAAGGAATTAGACGACACTACAGCACTGTTTTGTTTTTTTCTTGCCTTATCTTTTGCCTTCATAGTTTAGGGCTCTTGTCCACAAATTCACAGAATTAGTACAATTTGTCATGAACAAGTATTTGGACAGATGCAGTGTCCAGTGCTTTGCCTTCCTTTGTTTTGAGCACGCTGCTCTATTGATAACACTGTGTACTGGGAACAGCTCTCCAGGCATTATGCATCATTACCCAAGTTCAAGCATCTAGAGTCTTCTCCAGTCTAGGTCTAGAGAACAAAGAATTTCTCTCTGTTCTTTTGGAGTTAGAATTTACAGAAGCTTCAAGTTTTAATGAGGTATTCTCTCACAGTGGGATGTGATCCTTTCCTTGTATAACTCTGCCTTAATTTTGCTTGAGATGAGTTTAATGGTTTTGTTCTGCACTTTTACTAAATCTTAGCTAAACAGAAGTTTCTTGTGAGCCTGCATATTTTCAGGAGTACAGAAATGTTGGTTAGTTTAGAAAGGTCAATGACAACTACAGTAATAGGACCAGTTCTGAAAGCATGTGTGTGCCACCACTGTACACACGTGATCTCTCTTCAGTCCCAAAGAGGGTTATTCAGTAATGACTTTATAGTTTACAGGTGACAGCTCAGGAGATGTTACTTGTCCAAAGCCACAGTACTTCTAAGGGATGGTAATTCCTCAACTGACCAGGGACAGAATGCACAGGGGCTACTGAGAAGGAAAAGGTGTCCCTTGTTCAGAGTGAAGAATTTCAAGATGACAGCAGCAAGGAATTAAACTGGGCCTGGGGCTCTTCTTAAGTCTGTGTGACAACACAAGTCACACATTCATGACAGTGGTCTTGCCCAAGAGGTTGTAGTAAGTATTAAATGAGGCAATATGGCAATCAAAGGAAAGAGTCAGCGCATCCTGTAAGCTAGGAGCCTTCCTTGCTACTCCCACTTTACAGTGAGGAAACAAAGGCACAGGGACGTTCAGTAACTGCCCCATGGCCACATACTAATAAGCAACAAAGACTGGACTTCACCTCGAGGTGAAGGAGACTACTCTGCTGTAATGTGGGATGTGCTTCCCATGTGGTCTACATAGACACCGCAGGTGGAAGGTCTAGGCTACATGCTAAAGCAAGGCCCCTGGTATCAAACCTATGATGTTAACATGGCCCTGGATGCATGAGATGCCAAACATGTTTGTTTTGAGAACATTTTAATATGCTGTTAATTTACTTGTGAGACTATCAAATTCTTTAGAATTTTTGTAAATCACAGCTTTCCTTTAAATTTGTGCCACAATACCACAACATAGAGACATGTGACTGCACTTTGACAGGCTAAGAAAATACCAAGTTAGAAATACATTTAACCCACAGAACATCCACGTTAGGATATACTGTCAAAAATGGAGGGACAGAAAAATTTACAATAGTCATTAAAATTTGGTAATAATTTTTAAAATGGCTTACAGATACATTCAGTTCAGATAATTAAATTACCTCCAGTTTATGACTTGAAATTTTCTTAAAATAATTTTCAGTGGTTTGGGAAATGGTAAGTGAAGAGTGACCACACTAAAGTCTGGCTTTGCTACTGAGCTTCATCAGATGCAATTGAGAAATCGGTGCTAGGCACTATTTGGGAACCATCTAGAATTCTAACTCACAAGATGTGCTCTGAAAAGGATTACTGTAAAATAGCTATTTTAAATGGCAGCTGGTTGGGGCTGGAGAGATGGCTCAGCGGTTAAGAACACTGGCTGTTCTTGCAGAAGACCCAGGTTTGAATCCCAGCACCCACATGGCAGCTAACAACTGTCCGTAACTCCAGTCCCAGTGGATCCAACAGCCTCTTCTGACCTCCGTGGGCATTGCATGACACAGGTGCTCTTACCTACATGCAGGCAATACACACATACACATAAAAATAATTTTTTAAAATGGCAGCTGGCAAGAGATGTGCCCTCAAGGTACCAGCATCTCCTGGGCTATGTGGAAGAATGCTGGGCTGGAAGCTGCTTAGAGTTAGGGTGACAGGAGTGAACACAGCAAAAGAGGTTCAGGGACTCCTAGGTATTCCTTAAGGGCTCATAATGACCCTCATAAAACCAAAAAGCTCCTTGAAATATCCCATTTTCTGGGAAATTTAACTGTCATCATTGGTAATGCTGTGATTTTGGAAGTCACAATTCCATTGAGGAAGGGAGGGATGGGGACCAATGCACTATGTAAAACGTGAAGCAAACCCTTCAGGATATCTGCCTAGGGCCTCCTCCAGGCCCTTGGGGTTTGAAGCAGGATATGTCTGGCGCTGCTGAAGAGAAGCGGTGCTCTCAGAACTATGCCACAGGCCTGAGAACAAGAGACCAGCCTGTCCCTGCAGTCTTCTACCCCTCGGTGCGTGGCCCAAGAATACAGCCCCGAAGACAAGCCAAGGGCGCCCTCTGCTGGCAGGAACTTTCCGATCCCTAAAATCCACTATTTTGGGTGGGAATTTTGTTAAAATTATTTTCAAGCCATTTTTTTTTTTTTTAAAGGACTTGACAGAAAAGTCTGAGGTAGAAAAAGAAGTTGTGGGATCCCAGGAGGATTTCTGGTGAGGATTCCTTAGAGCCTCTTGACCCATCTGCTCTGAGTGCCTTGTTCCTTGAGAAGGCACTCACCGTGTCTACACGTGGCAGCCGAGCAGTTTGCAAAACTTTAAGCCAGCTTGTTAGAACTTTTCAATTAAAATGTCAAAACTTAATATCATTGCAAATGGAAAGTTGACTGGTGCTGAAATTATAAGCAACCTAGTCATTTAGAAATGGAATGTAAACTGTGATCATCCGTAAATGTTCTGTGTAAAAACAGCAGAAAAGTTTGCTAGTCACAATCAAAATTTAATCTCAGTATTTTTATTTTAGAATGAATTAGAAAGTGAAATGCTGTGTAGCATCTTTCACCTGTGAAGGTGTAGCTAGGCTTTCAGGCCAGCTCCTTACATTCCAACATTATCTCTACTTACTGCCTCCCTGGAGGCAACAAGTTACAATCTGGTCTCACATCCACGAAACAGGTGTGGTTAAAACAAATAATGATGACCCTCTCAGTCACTGTGAGGAATAAATGGAATTACTCCTATATGTATGTGTTTTTACAGTACAGTTTAGAAGCAGTTACAGAATGAGTTGCTATATTTGGGTGAGCACACTGCTGCTGGTGTACAGACCGGACTTGCAACAGCAGCTGCCCCATTATATGCCCCTAAATAGCAGGGATCTTGGCTGTATCTTAGAAGCATCTAGGGAGATTTAAAAAAGAATAATTTCCTGGATTCCACCCTAAACCTATTAAAGCAGTCTCTGTGGGTGTAGTATCAAGAGTTTTTTTAAGCTCCCAGTGATTCTGGCTGCCTTACTGGGGTCCTTGGTGGGGTGCTGGCCCAACCACCTCTGTTGGGAATTCTGTAGAAATGTCAGTTCTCAGGCCTGCCCTAGACCTGCTGGATCTGCATTTTGCAATAAGATTCCCACAGATCCTAAATCTCTGTGAAAAATTCAGGGTGTGCATACCATACTAAGTTCTGAAGGAGAGGATCCAGCACATGTACAGTAGCCTCATGATGTTAAGTCACTGGGTAGAGTGTTGCAGGCTTGAAGACATTAGGACTAGACATATGCCTCATAGCTGAAAAAAAGGGATAGAGCAGCTAGATGTCAAAGAATGAACAGAATGATCTGCCAAGTTGCCTATAGGGACCAGACTCCGCAGTCTTACACTTCATAAGACCATTGTAGAGCAGGAGGCATACTAGTAAAAATAAAGGACGCCCTCTTATGGTGCCAGTGAGGTTGAGATATACCCACCGATTACACCAGCAGGACAGAGACCCTAAAGTTAAGGTGTTGCATTGCTCTGGTGACAACGGAAATTCGTGTGAAGCCTGTCTGATATGTGTATCAGGACGCAGGGTCTCTTACCCCCTGAGAATACTGTGCTTAGTTGCTAGTTTTTTAGAGGGAGATGACTGGAACTGGGGAAACAAGGGAGTCCAGACCTCCCACCCTATGGAGTGGCCCTCCTAGTCACAGGAACCTTAGCCCCTGTGAAGGACACAGTACAGAAGAAAAGTACTTGGACTCAACGCCTGCTCTTGACCCCAACAGAAACAGGCCAACTAAGAACCTCAGTGTAGTCATCCCCATTAGTCATCCGCGTTAAAGTTCTATGTAACCAAACTGAAACTTAATCGAACTTTAAAAAAAAAATCAATGAGACAGCAGCCAAGTTCCTAAGCAGGAGGGTTTCTCCAAAGTTCCTGTGCCTTAACCTTCACAACCAGGTAGGCTCTGATGGCAGTCAACCTTTTCCTCTTGGAGCAACCAGTCGCATTTCGTTCTTTGTTCCGGGCACTCGGCCTGTCTCTGCATCTGAAACCACCTCTTCTATTTGGCGCACCGGAACCCTTGTCCTAGGATCTAGCTAAGTTTGTCGTTTTGTCTGACACTTTTACCATTCCACGGACTGTTACGTAGAGCGGATCGGCCTCATCGGGGTTCAGGACGCCCCCGAGGGCGGACGGGCGGGTTCCAGCCTCGCCGAGGATGGCCTTGGACACGAAGTAGCGAAACCGTAGTTGTTTTAGACGTTTAAACGTTAAATATAATTCAGATACCAACGACGACAGCGCTCTGCCCCAGCCCATTGCCTGGCAACTGCAGCGGACGCGAACTTCCCACCAATCCGCAAACTGCTGGCAGAAGGACTTCCTCTTGGCTTCAGTATTGCTAAGTGCGTATGCGCACTCGCGTTGAGCCCGGCGACCTCGTCTCTGACGCCTTCCGGGCGATCCCGGAAGTAGTTCGTGGAGCACGCACAGTACTCCCGTAGCAATAAGACGGTATCCTCCGGCTGAAGGCGAGTCGGGCTCTGGGGTCTCCTTCCCTCGCTGTCTTGGCCCCGCGGCAGAGCAGGTTGGTGGCCTGGGTCCCGCCGTGTGCCCCTCGCCCCGCCATGGCCCTGAGAGAAACTGAGGCCCGGCAGGCTGGTCCTGCTCCCTCGGCGGCCCGGCCGTTCCGGAGGCCAACGGCTTCCGGTGCGCGGCCCGGGCCAAGCAGACGAGCCAGAGGGTCGGGGCCGGAGGCCAGGGTATGGCCGCGAGTGCCAAGCGCCCCGCGAGACCCGGTCCGCACAAGCGCCCAGTGGGAGCGGGTCCTCAGCCAGGCCGTGTCTGCCTTCTGAGGAGCCTGGGCAACCTAGTGCAAACCGCCACGGCGCGGTTTAGAGCGTGGCCAGCACCCCTGGGAGTTCCGGGGGAGTCCGCAGACAGCTGGCGGGCCGAGGACGGGATGGATGGGGTCAGCCTGCTCTCGGGGCAGCTGCGGTGCCCAGAGCCGCGGGAAGGGACGCGCTGGCCCGGGCGGGTCCCGGACACCCGCCTGCTGGGCGGTCTGCAGCTCCCCGTGCGCTGCACTGCGGGGTCCGCGTCCGCCCGCCAGCGCTCGAGTAAGTGCATCCCCGGCCCAGCTTGAAGAGGAGGCCGCGGCAGGTGAGCCCGCCGTCTCGGGCGCACACAAAGCAGGTAACAGTGTTGGTGTGCTACAGGCGGGAAAACAAAACTGAGTTGTTGCCAGCGAATCGCCGGTGCTTGGACTGCAGAAGCCCTCGCCCTCCTTTGCCTGCCCCTGTAAGCACTCACTCGGCGTCTCCAGCGCATCTTTGCAGTCAGCAAGCCGTGTTGTCTCTGACGTGAAAATGCTTCTAGCTGTTGCTCGGGCTTAGGACGTCATGAAGCCAGGAGAACTTAGATGCCTTCCCAAAATGCCCTGCAGTTTCTCCCTCCTGTGTTATCTGAAGGACGTCACCCTCATTAGCAAGTAGATTGCCAAGGTGTTAAGCTCTTTCTGGAGAGGCAGCTGACATGGTAGACTTTGGGGTGTAAAAATGTGCAAATCTGTAACCGTTGGAAATGTGACAGTGTATGCAAGTCACTAGGGAGCTATAAAGCATAGATTTTCTCCAGGGAAGAAAAATACAGCTGTTGTTGCACTCACTATGTGCTAGACACTCTTCCATCTTTTTTTCTCAAAACAGGACTTCACATAGACCAGGCTGGGCTTAAACTTGCTGTATAGCCCAGAATGGCTGGGCCTCCTGACCCTACCTCTCAGGTGCTGAGATTGCGGGTATTCGCCACCTCACCTGCATAATTTATTTCATTTTTTTATTATCATATGTGGGGGCAGGCATGCCATAGCCCACATGTGGAGGTCGGAAGGGGACAGTATAGAGTCAGTTCTCTCTATCAAACTCTGGTCACTAGACTTGCACATCAAGTGCCTTTACTACTGGACCATTGCACTGCCATATCTGCATGATTTGGTGTGGCTCTCAGCATGGCAGGAACATGAGGCCTGGTGGGTGGCAGGTGGGCCTGGTAGACTACAATGCCAGGAGAAACGCAGTGGTCAAGAGTCCTACTGGCTAAATGAAGTTCTTTAAAATTGTGGGATTCCTCCCAGAACTGGTGGTTTTCCTGGGTAACTTCATGCAGAGATGTTGACCTAAACCAGAGTAAAGAATAACCCCAGGGGAGCCCTAAAAAAGGAGGTCCTTCTTGCCAGATTCCTGGTGTATTGCTCACTGTGTCTGTAGAGAGAGGACCTTTTTTTCCCTGGCTGGCGCTGGCAGGTGCTCTGCTGTAATGTGTCAGAACTGCCTCCTTGGTTCTGGCAAGGGCATTGTACTAACAAATAGAGGAAACTAGATGTGGAGTGTGTGCAAATTCTCCCATCTTCATTATTTTCTGAGTCTAAAACTGCTCTAAAATTGAAAGTCACTTTTTTTTGGCTTTTTGAGACAGGGTCTTCCTGTAGCCTCAGCTGGCCTGGAGCTCACAGAGATCCACCTGTTTCCAAAGTGCTGGGATTAAAGTGTGTGCTACAACGCCAGGCTTGAAAGAGACGTTTTAAAAAGCACTCTGTTAATCCCAGCATTTGAGAGGCAGAGGCAGGTGGATCTGTGTAAGGCTAGCCTGGTCTACACAGTGAGACCCTGTCCCCAAGAGATAAAAATAAAAACACTCTGCCTGGTCCATCTTTGGATCTCTTCTGAAGAGAGGAGGCTGTAAGCCTTGAGAGTGCTCTCCTTTACTCTTGTTGTACCACTGAGAAAAGGCCTGTCTTTAACATCTTGGACTTCGTGTTTTTCAGCCAACATGAGTCTGTTCGGATCAACCTCTGGGTTTGGAACTGGCGGGACCAGCATGTTTGGCAGCACAACGACAGATAATCACAACCCAATGAAGGTATTACCTAGTGCTTCACAGAGTGTAGAAGAGTCCAGGCCAAGGTGTCCTGCATTGGTGACAGCTCAAGGAAAGGGCATGAGGGCCTCATATGGGATGAAAGCTCTGAGGCATCCTCCAACATGGGAGCACAGAAATCATCCCTCCCCCAGAATACTGTCCTCTTCCTCCTTACCTGCCAGGTCACCACAGTCACCCAAGCCACCTGTGAAAGCTACAGCTTCCCAGGGCCAGCTGAGGACTGATGGACAAGGGGTTCTGCAACAGGCCAGGGGGCAGGAGACACTTAACCAGACTCTTGGGGCCACCTTGTGCAAATGTCACCTTTGGGCCTTATGTCTAGAGTTCTTCTAGTCCTAGCAGTGCTAGGCCTGCCCTGGCTTGATCAGAGTAAGGAAAGGGCCAATCCAGTAAGCTCCTGGGGCAAGGAGAGAAGAGCGCAGGGTATTTAGTGAGAAGGAAAGCAGCTTTGACACTGAGGGCGCATGCATTTTAAGCCTGACCTTCCCTCCGCAGGATATTGAAGTGACGTCTTCTCCTGACGATAGCATCGGCTGTCTGTCTTTCAGCCCACCAACCTTACCAGGGAACTTCCTTATTGCAGGATCATGGGCTAATGACGTAAGTGCTCCTCAGATGAATCTCCTGCGTAACAAGGCTAGCTTGCCCCTCAGCTCCATTCTGTACTGTGTCACTAAGGTCTATACGTGGCGTTTTCCAGGAGACCATGTAGAGGCTGTGAGCCCTTCCGAATGGCAACATCTCAGCCATGTGCTGCTCAAAGGATCCACATTCCCAACTCAGATGCACTGTTCATAATGTTTAAGGACCTTTCTTGGCATCCAGAAAATGTTCTTCAGCCTTACGGTCGTTTTAGATTTCACATAACAGCACAGATACCTCGCAAACCTTTGATTACCCATCATGTGTACCAAGGTCCATCATAGTGTATAGAAGAGAGGCGGGAGCACGGGTGGGAAACAGGCTCCGGGTGTGAGCAGGCACTCCACATGAAAGGAGCAAATTTAGATCATTTTGCCACATTCATTATCAGAAATTTATGTGACAGACTTATTTTTTTCTACCAAATTAGCACAAACAAGAGGCTTTGATGAGTAATAGTGTGAACAAGGACGAGCTTGAACCTTGCATGCACTGCTTGTGGGCCCTGTGTGGGTCAGAACCGCTCTTCAGGACATAAGAATTGGCAGTACTTTTCAGAAATCTTTCAGTTCGAGCCCTTTGTCCATTGATTCTGCTTTTAGGATTTGAGGAAGAAATCTGATGATGTTCTTGACGTATTATCTGCATTAGTCTCTACCACAGCCAGAGTGTGCTGATCTCTATCAGGATGCTGACCTTATACTTGGATCTGAGTAAGCCAGCATGCAGATCTGCACAGTTAAGCTCAGGGTCTTGAGGACCAAAGAAACAGCTGTAATGGTGGCGCACTTGCTTAGAATGTGCAAGGCCCTGGATTCGATTTCCAGTACCACGGGGGAAAAAAAACAGCTCCAGGGCCATACTTTTAGCCGCTGCCCAATACTGCTGCGCTCCTTAAAAAGGTGGCATTGTGCTGGTGAAAAGGTGAAAGTTCTATCCAGTGGCAGTGATAATGTAGGATGTGTTCATATGTGTTACCCAACACAGGAGGCAGAGAGGTGGGTGGATCACCACAAATTCGAGGCTAGACATAGAAAGAACCACCACCCCCGCCCCCAAAAAAGAAAAAAAAAGTGTTCTGGGGAAAGATTACAAATTGATCTGTGGCGGTGTAGCAGGGAGGATGCGGGGTGGAGGGGAGTGAAGGTTGAGCAAGTTTGCTTCCTTAAAATCCTTTTGTTTTATGTGAATGAGTGTTTTGCTTACAAGTATGTTAAGCACACCCATGCATGCAATGCCCAGAAGGCCAGAAGATGGCATTGGATCCCATGGAACTGGGACTTACAGATGATTGTTAACTGCCATGTGGGTGCTGGGAACCGAACCTGGGTCCTCCACAAGAGCAGCCAGTGCCCTTAACCTTGAGCCATTACTCCAGCCCTCCTTTTTTGTTTGTTTTTTGAGATGGATCTTCCTTTAACCCCAGCTGGCCTGGAACTAGCTATGTAAACCAGGCTGGCCTCAATCTCACAGTGATCCACCCGCCGCCGCCTCTGAGTGCTGGGATTAAAGGCGTGTTGCTATGCTTGGCATGATTGCTCTTTAAGATTTATATTTTCTTATGTGTATGTCTAAGCTTATACCGTGTGTGCGCAAGTGCCTGTGGACACCAGGTGTTGGATTCCCTTGATCTAGAGTTACAGGAGGTTGTGAGCTACCTGACATGGGCGCTGGGATCTGAATTTAGGTCCTCTAGAATAGCATCATATACTTGTCACTGCTGAGCCAGCTTTCCAGCCCCACAAGTTGCTTTTTATACTATATGACTTGCTGCTAAAATGTGTTAGAAAAGGTCCTCTTGCAGAGGATCTGAGTTCACTTTCCCCTATAACTAACTGCAACTGTAATCCTCTCATTTGGTAGGAAGAGGCAGGAGGGTCAGGAGTTCAGAATCATACTCTGATACATAGTGAGTTTGAGGCTAGCCTAGGTTACATGAAACTGACAAAAAAGTAAATAAACTTAGAAGTACATTCAAACATGAATAGGTGATGTTGCAGGCTTTGAAAGCTGCAGTCACAAAAGAGGTTTGTTCCAGGGCGTTATGTTTGTTTGTTTTTAAAGAAAACGTGTGCATTAGCTGAAGACTGAAAGCACAGACCTTACTAGCTATCTGGGGCAGGAGCAGAGTGATGTGGATTTTCTCCTCATATTTATAAAATCTCCAGAATACATTTAACAAGGGGAAGCGTTTAGAGCAGAAAAGTGTGTTTCCCCAGCAGTCTTCATTCTGAGCGGTCACAGACATGTGGGTGGTACTCAAGAGGACAGCTATCTGCAGTGTTGGGTGTAAGCAGTTTGGTGGTTTAGCAGTAGAAAAATAGCTGCTCGTTTACACATTTCAATTGCTTAGTTCTTAAAGTTAGAGAATCGGATTGATAAAGAAGTCATGTAGTAAATCGTACTGGTCAGTCAGGTGTATCGGATGCACTTCAGGCACTGTGAATTGCCTGCTTGCCTTGATTTGTGTTGTTCTTACAGGTTCGCTGCTGGGAGGTTCAAGACAGCGGGCAGACCATTCCCAAAGCCCAACAGATGCACACGGGGCCGGTGCTTGACGTCTGCTGGAGTGACGTATGTCTCCCTTCATTTCTGGCGCACTCCTGCTTTTTAAAGTGCTGTGTTGTTCAGAATAGTTGGTAACTCTCCATACAAGCTGAACCCCTGTGTCAAAATGCTTGTGCCCAGAAGTAACTCAGGTTTCCACAGCTTTTGGATTTGGTAGGCAGTTGAGCAGTAGATGCTCAGGTTTGGAGTATTTCAGGCTTTGGGGTTAAGGGTGCTAACCCTCTAGCATGTATGTGTCTGCATGGTAGAGACTCTGAGCTTCTGAATGGACGTGCAGAATGTGTTTCCTTTTCTGTCATGGCTTAGAGAAGGGAGAGAGATGCTTTTTCTTTTTTTCTGTTCTGGGAATTGAACCCATATGCATGTTAGGTGAGAGCTCTGTGATGGAGATGTGTCCCTAAGCCATTAGTAATTTACTGATGCTCTTGATGTTAATTTCAGTTAGGTGCATCCTCTGAAAACTTTTCTTGTGATTGAAAAAAAAAAAAGTGTTGAGGCCCAGCATGGTGGTGCATGCCTTTAATCCAGCACTTGAGAAGGAAAGGGAAGCGAATCTCTGTGAGATAGAGGCCAGCTGGGCTATAAAAAATGTGGCTTGACTGTGAAGCCACCTCAGTGATTCTTATTTGAACACTTGTTCTGGGCATTGGTTTTGAAGACTGTGGCACCTTTTAGATACGGGACTTCGATGGCAAACATGGAACCATAGAGGTAGTACTGGGTGGCTGTAGCTTCCTGGTGCCTGCCTGAGGGTGCCCTGAGACATGACAGGTCACACTGCAAGCTTCACCACCACAGGAGGCTCACCAGCCTCCCTTAGTGTGAAACTCTGAGGTAGAAGTTGTGTTAGGTGTGGTGTCACAGAGAGGGGGAATAATGTAGCATTTCACTTGGAGTACATAATTCTTTTTTTTAATATATTTTTATTATTTTTATTTTGTGTATGAGTGTGTTGCCTGCATGTATGTGGGTGCACCCCTGTCGTGCATTGCCACCGAGGTCAGACGAGGGCATCGGATTCCCCTGGAACTGGGGTTAAGGATGGTTTGTAGCTGCCATTTGGGTGCTGGGAATCGAACCCAGGCCCTCTGCAAGAGCAGTCAGTGCTCTTAACCACTGAGCCATCTCTCCAGCCCCAAATACATAATTCTTTTTACGGTTAAAAGATTTTTTAAAAATTGTGTGTATGTGCACGTAAGTGCGGGTGCTAAGGGAGCCAGAGGCGTCAGGCCCCCAGGAGCTGAGTCATAGGAGGTTGTGCGATGCTCAGTGTGGGCGCTGGGGTCTGAACTTGGGTCCACTGCAGGAACAGTACACACTCGTAGCGACTGTGGCATCTCTCCAGGTTTTGTTTTACTTTAGGATGTTTTTATTTGCATGTGTGAGTGTGTGTGAATCTATGCTACGTTTGTGCGGGTGCCCTGGGAGTCCAGAAGAGGTGCTGGATCCCCTGGAACTGAAATTACAGGCAGTTGTAAGATTCTCAGTGTGAATGCTGGGAACCCAAAGTGCTCTTAACTGCTGAGCTATCGCTCTCCAGCCCTTGGTTACATAATTTTTTGACGCCCTTCCTATTTCTGAATATGCCATGAACTTAGGTATTTGTTGTTTGCTTATAATTTTATTTTTATTGATTGATTTTTGTGTACTGTGTATATGATGTGTTATAGACATGTGGTCTATGTGTCGTACATGTCCTGTGTCTTCCTCTCTTCTCCACCTTATTGGCTTGAGACACAGCGTCTTCTCATTCATCCATACGCTGGCCCCTTTGCCTAGGCTGCCCAGCCAGCAAACTCTGGAAGCCCACCTGTCTTCACCCCCCCACCCTCCCACTGCCCCCACCTCCAGTGCTGGAGTTAAAAGTAAGTATGTGCAGCCATGTCTAACTTTGTACAAGGGTGCTGGAGATTGAACCCAGATTCTCATACTCACAGAGCACGTGCTTTCACTGAGCCATCTCTTCAGCGCTTAGGTTATTTTAAAAGTAGAAGTTTGGGGCCGGGCACACGCCTTTAATCCCAGCACTTGGGAGGCAGAGGCAGGCAGACCTCTGTGAGTTCAAGGCCAGCCTGGTCTACATAGTGAGTTCCAGGCCAGCTGGGGCTATAGGGAGACCCTGTCTCTAAAAGACAAAAAGAAATAGAAATTTTGGGCCGGGTGTGGTGGGGTACACCACTGACCTTAGCACTGGGGAGCCAGAGGCAGGCAGATCTCCATGAGCTAGAGACTAGCCTGGTCTACATAGTGACTTCAGGGCAGCCAGGGTTACATAGTAAGACCCTATCTCAGAAACAAACAAAAAAGTAGAAATTTTACTAGTCCAGAAAATCCTAGAGGGGAAAAAAGGAATGCATTTCTGTTATTAGATAGTGGAAATGGTGAGAGTGTGTGTTTGCTTTGTTTTGCTTGGCTTTTTGTTCTTTTTCTTCCCCAGGTCTAGAACAGGAACAGTTTAAGTGTGTGTGAGGGTGGGGAGCATTTAAACAGTGAAATGACCCACGTACAGAAAAGCCAGAGGGATGGGTGGTGCTCTTCCTGGGCTGCAGTGGGAGGACTTCAGGTGAGCAGAGGAAAGTCTAGCCTCTGTCTTCCCCAGCTCTGGTCCCTGGAAGCCAGTGCTCAGCTTTCCATCCCTAAGTTTTGCTTTAAAAGAATATCATACATGGATTTCTATAGGCTGGAGCCTTCTAAGGAGCTTCTGGCCCTCAGCATTATGCATTGGGGGTCCCTCAGGTGGTGTGTGTCAGTGGTCTCTCCTTGTAGTGAGCACCAGTCCATGATGTGGTGTGGCATGTGTCCAACATGTGGAGAGCTAGTCAGTGATTTCAAATGGGAAGAGTTTACTCTGGAGGGTGGTGGGAAACCTATGCACTCTGAAACCAGACATGAAGCAGTCTAGACCCTAGGTTTGCAAACTGTGGCACATTGCCTGGTTTTGTAAATGAGGTGGTTTTCATTGTATGATGTGTGCTGCTTTCAGGCTTTGGGTCGGCAACCACTGTGGGCTCTGAAAGCCCCACACACTCAGTGCTCACCTTCTAAGCTAGTTTGCAGTGGTTACTGTCAGTGTAGTTTTACTGCGTACATGTTGGAGTATTGGACACAAAACTGAATGAAAGTAGTAAGTAGTCTGGGTGCGCACATGTCTGTGCGTGGAGAGGGAGGCAGTGTGGCCAGCGTGGCAGCTGGTGAGTCGGGGTGAGTGAGCATGCACTGCTCTGCAGGACGTTGCCACACATCTAAGGAAACAGAACTTTAAGGTGACCCACACTTGCCTTTGAGGAGGAAAGCTTGGATCAGGGATGAGAGAGACTTGGTTTTCTTTTCTTTTTTTAATACTTTGTTGCGTTTATTTATTCTGTGTTTTTGTGTGCATGCGTGTGGAGGTCAGAGGACAGCTGTTCTCCCCTCCCGCCATGATAGAACTCAGGTTGGCAGGCTTTGTGGAGCACCTTTACCTGCTAAGCCACCTCACCTCCTGGAACTTAGTTCTCATTATCTAGCTTCAAGTGCTACTTGATTTTTAAATCCTGTTTATGTGTTCTCTCCGAATAATCAGTCTGTAGCTGCAAGTGTATTGTTTATGGCACTAGTTTGCAATACCCTGGTTCTTAGATGAATGGAAAAATAAAACTGCAAAACAAGCATGTTTGCCTGACATTTGAGTGTTTAGGACATTTGCTTAGACTGCCAGACTTTGTTTCTGTTTTATTTTAGGATGGGAGCAAAGTATTTACAGCATCATGCGATAAGACAGCCAAGATGTGGGACCTAAACAGTAACCAGGCCATCCAGATCGCACAGGTGAGACGCCTCTGTAGACGGGCTGGCAAGACTGTGTCCCAGGGGTGTGGTGGGATTGTAATCATTCTTTATTGTAGAAACAGTTTAATGGTACCAGAAACCTTTTCAGTGCAAGAAGAACGTTTTGTAAGTATGCTTATTCAGATGAACTGGTGTTTCACGGAGCCCTTTATCGTCCATATATCGAGGCAGTCATGAGAGTTAGTGACATTAAACCTATAAAAGACAAGGGTAGGCAGGCCTTGGCACACTGGCGTTCCAGCACCCGTGTGTGGCTTGCCCTTTTCAGCTGCATGTGCTCACTTGTCATCCAGCAAGTGCTTGGTGTCTGCCAATGCCAGGCCCTGTCATCAGGGGTTAGAAATACAACAGTGAGTCAAGGGCGGCTTCTCATACCCATGGAGCTTTCGTAGTCTCAGGGACAGCAGGCAGATTCTCATGTGTACACCACTAAGTAGGCTAGTGAAGAGAACCCCTCTGGAGGCCCCTCTGGTTGAGGGTGGGGCAGGCTCCTGCCATGGGCTTTCCATGGGCATGTACTAGAGCATGTCCTAACATCTTAGTCAGTGCCACCCTAGTAGATCAGCTCCCCACTGTTTCTAAATGACTCCCCAGGAAGGGCCTTATGGTCACCATTAATTATGAATGAGACTTAAACTTGTGCTGAAATGGAAGATAGGTCATGCCCTTATGTAAAATATTTTGGGTTACGGGAGAAGACTTAAAATGCCCTTTAATTTTTGTTGAGTATAGCCTGATACTTAAATTAGTTCCTTTGGCTTTCTAGAACTAAAGCTACTGTGCGCATTGTAAATTAATGTTGGTTTTTGTCTTGTTGGAAGCATGATGCTCCTGTTAAAACCATTCATTGGATCAAAGCCCCAAACTACAGCTGTGTGATGACCGGGAGCTGGGATAAGACTTTGAAGGTGAGCTGGCAGCTGAGGAGTCGGTGCACAGTGAAGATGGGTGTCCGGGCAGACGGCAGCTCCCCACAGTCTCTTCCTCACCCTCCTCCTTGTTTTCAGTTTTGGGACACCCGGTCGTCAAACCCTATGATGGTCTTGCCACTTCCTGAGCGCTGTTACTGTGCCGATGTGGTAAGGAATCGCACTTCCCTTTAAAAAGCTGAGTCAGCATCCCTCTGCTTATGGCATCTGCGGTTAGCAGGTGATCTAAAATCCTTCCCCTTCATGAACAGATGTGTTGGGATACAGCTTAGATTGTTCCCGCCCTCTTGACATTGGGGGCTGCATTTGTTCTAGAACTACTGAGTGCTGGGTGCGGGGTTTTTGTTTCGTTTTGTTTTCTTAAGTTGCTGGACATTGAAAGCCTGAGCTTTGTGTCACTTGTTACACGGTGTGCCACTAGCCTCGTGACCTCCCTACTGTGGGGACGTGATAGGGTGTGGTGGTTGAAGAACTTAGGGTGATCTTTTGTGGTTCCAGTGTTTGGGGACTGATTGAAGAACTTCCTCATCTATTTAGTCTTAATTACCATGCCAGTAATTTCAAAGTTAAGAGGGTTGTTTTATTTTCTGTGTGAGTGTATTGTGTGCATGTATGTAAGTGTGCCTGTGTTGTGAATGCTCTCAGAGGTCAGAAGAGGGTGTCAGAGCCCCTGGAACTGGAGTTACAGACTGTTGTTAGCGGCCATATGGGTGATGGAAACCAAGCCCCAGTCTTCCGCAAGAGCAGCCAGTGTTTTTAACCACTGAGCCATCTGTCCAGCCCCAAAGTTAGGAGTTCTATCCTCAGAAATGTGCCTGATGGGGCCTGATGCCCACAAAACATATTTTGAGTAAAGGTTGCGATTACATAGAAACTTACACTCAAAGACAGGAGTGAAAACCCACATGTAAGCCATAACCCTCTGGGGAAGAGGCAGCTGCCACACTGCTATAGTTTCAGGGTGTTCACACTTCACAGTTAAAAGCCTAGGGCCAGGTTGCTGACAAAGGCCTGTAATCACAATACTTACTCAGGACACCCTGGTAATAGGATCATGAGTTCAAATCCTGCCCAGGCTACATAACCACAGAACAAAGCACCCCAGCATCCAGGAAAGAGTCTTAAATATACGTGAGTATGTCCTGTAACAAATATGATTTGACACCACCAAATTATTAAACTTTTAAAAATTCAGGATTTGGGGGTTGGGGATTTAGCTCAGTGGTAGAGTGCTTGCCTAGCAAGCGCAAGGCCCTGGGTTTGGTCCTCAGCTCCGAAAGAAAAAAAAAATTCAGGATTTTGTGAGTAATGCTGATTGAACACTGTCATAAAAGACACTATCTCTATGTCAAATGTGTGTCTGCTCTCGTCCGTTCCCTAGATATACCCAATGGCTGTCGTGGCCACTGCAGAGAGGGGCCTAATTGTCTATCAGTTAGAGAATCAGCCTTCAGAGTTCAGGAGGATAGAGTCTCCACTGAAACACCAGGTGGGTCTGAGACCATTGAGAAGCACACATGTGGCACCTGTTATAAAATGGTGCCTGCATGTGGAGCTCAGGTATGTATTTTGAAAAGCCTGCCAGTATGCTCAGAGAAGCTGAATTTATGAACGCATGCACACAAATACTAAGTGCCGCCCATCTGTGGCTGAGCCAGACTTCCCTGTCCTCCAAACACTCAGAATAAAGACACCCTGGGTGGCTTACACCTCCCAGTCCCCTGGTGAGCTGGTTCCATTGTGGTCTGTCACCTCCACTTTCAGCTCTGCCTTCACATTTGCTTGCTTACTGGGTCTTCCTCCAGCTCAGTCCTTCACTGGCCAACGACTGCCTCCTTCCCGGCTCCATTTCTCCTCTAGCCTGTGTCTCAGCACATGGGATCAGTTCCTGCTTGGAAACAACAGTCAAGGTTGGGACCCTCCTTGTCTTCTGCACCTGATTTTCCTGCTGCCTCCTGCCAAGTGCAGACCAGGTTTTCTGGAGGCCCTTCGTGGGAGAGCTCCTGTCTGATAGCCTTTGCAGGAACCCAGTCTGTCACTAAGTCCCTTAGCACTCCACTCAAGTGTGCCCAGGTCTGGTTCACCCTGGGAACCAGACCTTCCTTGACTCTCATCCTCTCAGAGCCATGTGCATTCCTTTCCCCTTCACAGTCCCAAGTCTTTGTTCCCGTACCTCCCACTTGGCTCGCTTTCTCTGTTAAGCCCCAAGGCTTCACTGAGACCAGTTTTGGTTTAACTCCAGTGGCGTCCACATCACTCGAGCCATGGGCACTAATGACTCCATCTTAGGGGAGCTCCCGATGAGTCTCATCTTATCAGTGGAGCCTCTCCTTACCTGTTGTAGATATAGGGGTCACCCTTGCTTCACTCTCCGGTTCCCTCTCAACCTCCAATCAGTTACATAAAAATGTCATGACGTTGCTCTTAGATAATATCTTGGGTATGACACCAAGAGGCAATAATGAAGTGGAGCTGTACCAAACTTCAGACGTTCTGCACAGCAAGGGAGCTGTCGGCATTGAGAGCCTTAGAGAATATTGGAGCTGTGTTGTAAAGGATATCAGGAACTCAGTAGCAAAACCAATGACCCGATTAAAAACTGGAATACGACCCTTTTCCAAAGGTGACCTGGCCAGTGGGAATGTGAAAAGGCAGTCAGTGTTAGCACTGATCCAGCAGCCTACTGGGGTTTAAGAGGAATGAAAGGATTTTGAAGAGACGTGAACTCCTGCACTTGTTTTAGTATCGTTCACAATAGCCAAGGAAGTGGATGAAGGACATGGGTGTACATACGAGGGAATGCTGTTTAGCCCTAGAAGAAGGAAGCCTGTCATTGCCACAACATGGATGAACCTGGGGCCATTATACTAAGTGCAGCACAGGACAGACCCTGCCTTACTGCACCTGATGTCTGCAGTGTCTACAGACTGAAGTGTTGGTTGGATAGGCCTAGCATATCTACAGTGTACAAAGTTTGCTCTGCCCATTGTTCTTGTAAGATGGGCTGGCTGGTAGACACTGCTTCCTGGCCAGAAAAGCAGTGCACAGACACTGGGGACTAACTTGAAAGGTACTTCCTGATCAGATTGAGAAAACTGCTCCCTTCTGGTGCAGCCCAGTGCGACCAGCTCTAGTGCTGGAGCCTTGGACTTGAGGCCAAGTGTCCACAGGGGGGTTGAGCACAGATGGGCTCTGAGTCTTAGAGCTATTAGAAGGCTAGACAGCAGCACTTTCCAGAGAGAGACAAATACCTGCATGTTTGAATCATGTTTCTGGTTTTTCTAAGGCCTAAAAATAAGGTAACATTTGCATTCACGTGAACTAATCTTAACAGGCGATACTATCCTTTTTTATTAAACCATAGCATCGATGTGTGGCTATTTTTAAAGACAAACAGAACAAACCGACTGGTTTTGCCCTGGGGAGCATCGAGGGGAGAGTTGCCATTCATTACATCAACCCCCCAAACCCGTAAGTGAGACTTGACTACCTGGGATGTTCACTCGAGACTTATTTCTGAAAGGGAAACTTAGGTGGGCCTTCACTTTTCAGGGCCAAAGATAACTTCACCTTCAAGTGCCATCGATCCAATGGAACCAACACTTCAGCTCCTCAAGACATTTATGCGGTAGTGTGTAGAATTCCCTTTCACCTAGAAGCTAGACGTGGAGATCGCTCTCCCAGTAACTTGGGATCAGGAGTCAGAGGAGCCTGTGTCGTACGCAGGTTTCAGTGTCCGTTACGAACCTGTGTTTGGGAATGCAGACTTGAAGCTTGTGGGGACCATGGCATCTCTTTATGAGATTAGTACAGCCTCCACAGGTAGTAAAGATCAAATTGGTTTGCTTTTTTTTTTTTTTTTTTTAAAAAAACACTTTCCTTGGGTTACTTCTTGTGACCAGTGAGTTCACAGATGGCACAGGACTCTGACTGCACGGTGGCTCCAGGGGGTGGGGCTAGTTCTGAGCTGACAGTTGACCAGGCAACATGGCTAGTGAGCCAGATGTGAGCGGGTGTTTTGTTTGTGTGTGGCCTGCATTGGAAGAGACCTGTTTCTCCACCTCTCCCTCCCTCTGCACATCAACCTCTGCAGGTGAACGGAATCGCCTTCCACCCCGTCCACGGCACCCTTGCAACTGTGGGGTCTGACGGGAGGTTCAGCTTCTGGGACAAAGACGCCAGGACAAAGCTAAAGACTTCAGAGCAGTTAGATCAGCCCATTGCAGCTTGCTGCTTCAACCACAATGGAAACATATTCGCGTATGCCTCCAGCTATGACTGGTCCAAGGTGAGAATCTCCAGGTCTACCCTGGGCCCTCAGGCAGCTAGGTCAGGCTCTGGGGTCACCTTGAGTTGTGATCCTCTCTGGACTTGGCTGTGTGCTCTCTAGCAGGCCTTGGCCACTTCCCTGGCAGGACTGGCAGGCCTTCCTCATGAGTAGGCTTCGGTGCCATCTTGAGTCAGAACCAGGCACAGGGGGAAAGCCATGGGGTGGCCCTCCCTGTTCTTCAAACTGCTGGGGCCGCCACTTGGAGACAGACGGGAAGGGCTGGCAGAGTTAGGAAGCTGTTACCCTTTGGTGATGGTTCTATGGAGTGGATGTGCCACTGTCTATGTTCTCTGTGGAAACCACAGGTTCAGTTTTCCAAAGAGGGTGTGTTTTTTTGTTCTAGTGGCTGAAGTTGCTCAGGCCTTGGTTGTCCCCTGCCCCTGTTCTGTGGCGCTCTTTCCTGAATCCTCTCTGGTGTGCCCTAACAGCCACATCAAAGCTGCACTTGGGGGCTGGAGCAGTAGCCCAGCCGTTAGGAGTGTTACTACTCTTGCAGAGGACCCAGGGTCAGTTACAGCACCCACATCAGGAGATTCTAGCTGTACCTCCTGTTCCAAGGGATCTCATGCCTCTTCTGACCTCTGCAGGCGCTACAGGCACTAAAACACATGCCATTAAAAAAGAAAAACAAAATGAACCCTACATTTTTTGAGGATTGGCGGCTCACGCGGTCATTCTAGCATGAGGGAGGGAGCCTGTGATACTGAGGGGAAAGGAGCACACCTTCTAGGCCAGCCTGAACCAACTTGGCAAAATCCTGTCTCAGACTTGAAATGGGCTGTGTAGCTTGACAGCCTAGTGGGTGCTTAGAACCTGCCAGGGTCTTTGGTTCAGTTCCTGACCAACACTAAAAAACTACATTCTGTTTTAAGTCATAGAGCACTTTATGTTACAAGCACTTAGAAAAGAGGAAACACCCTGGGTGCCATCCCCAGCAACCCCCTTCAGAAAAACACCCAAAATAATTGAAATAGACAGTAGAAGAGTGAGTCAGAAGCTGAGGGGGGAGTCCACTCTAGTTGCTGCCTAGAAACTGAAGTCTGATTCTTCCAGACAGCTAAAGTCAGCTTATCTGGGAGTTTTTAAAACAAGCAGCTCAGGAATCTGCTCCAGAAGAGCTATCTCCAGGGTGAAGTCCGGCTCCATGAGTTTAATGCCAGCTTGTAGCTCGAACAGAGCCATTCAAAAGAGCTGGGGTTTGCGTACTGTGATAATTAAGTCACCCTTGATCACCAAAAACCCCTAGAACTTTCTAAACCTGCCTGCTGGGATGAGAGTAAAAATAGCAGTGCAGCCACCTTCCCCCGCTCCCTCCAGGGCCTGTGAGCGCCTGGCTGGTCCTCCCTAACTCTCAGATCTGTCATGTCCTCACCTGCTATGACCTGCTGCTCTTTTCCCTCTGAGACCCTACTCAGAGGGCCTGCCTGGCTTTGCTGGTATGGACTGGCTGTGGCCCAACCCTCCAGGCCCTGCTGATGTTTCAAGGCCCCTGACACCCCTGAACCTCTGCTTCTGTCATGGGAGCTGTCTCCCTGGGGGATGGGTGCCCTCCCTTGAAGCATCACCCATGATGCAGGATGCCAGTGACCACGGGCCCAGGGCCTGCTGAGGGCTGAAGTCTTTTTAAGTGACTGTTACCTTCTGTCCATTGGTGCTCAGCACAGGGTTTGGCATGAGTGTAACTTGCTTCGAATAATGGGATCACTGGTTTTTTTTCCTTTAGGGACATGAATTTTATAATCCCCAAAAGAAAAATTACATTTTCCTGCGTAATGCAGCTGAGGAGCTAAAGCCAAGGAACAAGAAGTAGTGAGCTGCGGGGGCCGGCGGGGCTTCCCTCCACTCCGCCTCAGCTGCACAAACTCGGGCCCTGGCCACGGTGGGCCTCTGGCTATGGATGTGGTCCACGCTGGAGGGAAGGACATTCTTGCTCAGCAGGGAGCTGGCGATTTGCTTCTCCGTCATGCTCCCCACTGCAGCCTTCCTGTGACTCTAGGTGATGGACAGAGTCTCACGGAAGTCAGATCTTGTGGGTGCTGCTTCGTTCAGCAGTGTGTTGTATTAGACAACGCTGGGAAGCTGTCTGTGCACCCTGTACTGTGTTTTACAATAAAATATTTTGAGGTTGGCCCACTAGTTCTGTCGTCCTCCCTGCCCCTCAGGAAGTAGCCACCCCACTTAACATCAGATTATTTCAGCATTTTTGTGAGCCCCACCGCCACCCCTGCCTCAGTGTTAAAGGAAAGTGGTTTATCACAAGCCTCCTGCTGCTGGGAAAGGTGCTAGCTTCATGACCAGAAAGGCTACCTTTCACAGCACAGGGAGGGGGACACGATGCACTTCTGCTAGCCTGTCAGCTCTCTACAACTCTCACTGAGCCCATAGACATGGGAGAAGGTCCAACAGGTGACTGTATCCCTGCCTGAGAGCTTTACCAAGGCAGGTGTGAGACGGCCTGGGGTTCGCCTGTAGTCCCAGCTTTGCAGAAGGCTGAGACGGGAGAGTTGTGAGTTCCAGTCCTGCTTGGGCAGCAGTGAACTCAGGGCTGGCATGAGCAACTTAAGCGAGACCCTGTCTCAAAAATCAAGGAGGGCTGGGGATGTAGCTCAGTGCACAGTGTTTACCCAACACACACAAGGCGAATACGGGCAGAGCAAAATCATTGTATGACAGTTAAGTCTGCTGTGGGTGTTTCCATCTTCTGAGGAGGGTTTGACATGAAAAGCTGTATGTGTGGAGCATGCAGTGGCCTCCATTTGATGTAGCACACTGGGGACCATCCTGACACCATCTGCTGGGAATTGCACACCCGTGCACTGAGAGTCAAGATGAGCGCTTTGGAGACGAGGAAACCTTTGCATACTTGCCTGGAAAATAACCCAGCTCCTCAAATCAGCTGCACCTTCTTGTACTTTTCCTCCCCGTGGGCATGGAGCAGGAGACAGATGCATCACGTAGCAGTCGGTGGTGGCCCCAGCTCCAGACCACGCTGTTGGCAGTGCTGTGGTGGCGATGTCGCGGCTCCTGTGCATCTCTGATCCAGCTTCACATTCCTCCCTGTCCAATTGATCAGGTTACTCCAGGATCACCGGGACTAGGAAGAGCTGAGCCTCCATTCGCTCTGACGGGCTTCCTGGCGGTGCTGGCTACTTCAAACATACCGCAGCTCCGGGTTAGCCCAGCCCCTCTGCGTGCCAACATCCCCTTTGGGATCTCCCCCCACACTCCCCTGAACCTGGCCTTTCAGGCAGGTGCCACAGAGACCCAAGTTTCCTGACAACCTGGAAGCAGGCACTGCCCACTGCCTTCAGATACTGGCAGATCCCTCTGCTCTCACTGGGGGCCTAGGGAACCTGCAGCCTGGAGTGCCCTGGCCCCCGGCCTCATCGTGCATGGCCTGGGAGGTTGACACCTGGACAGTGTGGCAGGACCAGGCCTGGTGCTGTTGACAGTAGCAGCACACCTTGTGATGGCTGTGTCCCTACATGCCCAGGTAGTTCTTCCTCCAGTACCTCAGGTTGTAACTGCTTTGGACATCGTTTAAACAACTGAGGTAGGGGCTGGAGGGATGGCTTAGTGGTTAAGAGCACTAGCTGGTCTTGCAAAAGACCTGAGTTCAAATCCCAGCACCCACATAGCAGCTAACAACCATCTGTAACTCCATTTCCAGGGGAACTGACGCCCTCTTCTGACCTCCATGAGCCCTGCATGACTCAGGTGCACTTATATGCAGGCAATACACTCATACATATAAAATAACAAAATATTAAACAAATGGGAATCTTTTTAAGATTTTTAATTTTTTATGTGTATAAGTGTATTGCCTGCATGTGTGTAAGTGCACCCATGTCATACAGTGCCCTTGGAGGTCAGAAGAGGGTATCAGATTCCCGGGAACTGGAGTCACAGACGGCTGTTAGTCTGAAACCTGGTTCTCTGCAAGAGCAGCCAGTGCTCTTAACCACTGAGCCATCTCTCCAGCCCACAAATGGGAATCTTAGCTAACCTTATAACCAAAGTTAATCTTATGTTTTGAGCTCACTTGACAGTAAATTGGCTTGTTAACGATGTAAGGAAGATTACTAGGCTTTAGACTCTTCTGATAAACTAAACACAGCTTTAATCTCTCATGACCCTTCCTTGCCCTGACACAGAATAGTGTGTATGTGTGTCTTGTGAGAATATAAGCTCTAAAACACAGAGACAGTGGATCTCTGTGAGTCCAAAGCCAGTCTAGTCTACATACTGAGTACCAGGCTGGCCAGGGCTACATAGTGAGACTCTCAAAAAACAAAAGTACAGCCTGGGCATGGTGGCGCATGCCTTTAATCCCAGCACTCAGGAGGCAGAGGCAGGCAGATCTCTGTGAGTTAAAGCCTAGCCTGGTAGTTAATTCCAGACCAGCTGGGGCTACAGGGAGACTGTCTCAAAAGAGAAAAAAAAACAACAACAACAAAATACAAAGTCCTTTAACTTTGAGCTCCTATAAAACGAAAGAAACAAATTACATGCTTCCAACATACAAAAGCACAGAGCAAATATTTGTATTCCAAAAGGGAAGAACGAGGGCATGGCAAGAAACAATCCAAACAACAAAAATCCAGCCAGGCAAACTACAAACCCCACAGGGTTCCATCTCTGGCACCTGGAGCTTAAGATAAAACTGGCGGGGTTTCAGAGGCTTGGGTAGCCCCGCCCTCCAGCCGGCCACCTGCAGTACACAGCTTCTCCCTCAGGTTTAGGCCAGCTCTGCTCCACATCTACAGCCCTCTTTGGCAGATGCCCCACAGTCTCAACAGCTTCGATATCCTGGGGTGCCCACTGGGGCTGAGGCTTCCCTTTCACAGCTTCATGAAATGGTCTCTCAGGGCTTCCAACACTGCCACGCAGTGCCTGGCCTCAGCTCTTCTCCATGGCCCCCTCAGTCTTACACATTTCATACCTTCAAAACCAGCACCACACTTTAGTCCCAGCACTCAGGAGGCAGAGGCAGGCAGATCTCTCTGAGTTCAAGGCCAGCCTGGCCTACGTAGCCATAGCAAGTTCCAGACCAGCTGGGTCTACAAGGAGACCGTCTCAAAAAGACAAAACAAAAACAAACCCGCACCACAGCCAGCTTTGTCACATTTTGCTGCCTGCTCAAGATAGAGCCCTGGCTCATTTGCACCACAATGTACCAGCTTCTGTGTGCTGACCCCAGAGAAACATTCCTAGGCAGTTGCTTTTGAGGAGCAGGGAACTCTTCAATTTAGGCTTTTTTTCCTTTAAATGAGTTCAGATTCCTACAAGCAGGAGCCTCTGATGGGTGGGGTTTTGCCCCAGGACATGTCCCCATTGCCCCAGTGCTGAGAGGAGGTGGCTCTCCAGCTTTGATCTTTTCAACCACCACAGCTGCTTTCTCATCACCATCCACAAGTTCTCTCGTCCTCAGAGTTCTTCTGTCAAACAATCCAGACCACCATCTCTCAGTTCACCTTCACTCAAGTTCTCAGGGCAGGAGCGGAACGAAGCCACGCTTTTGGCCAGTATGTCACAGGAATGGCCCCAGCCCAGCTCCTGATAGAGTCCTTGATTCCCTCTGAAACCCCATGAGCCGGGTCTCCACTCCATGTTTGTCTTAGCATTACTGTCTTTCAGGCTCCCATTAAGAACAACCCATTAAGCTCTGTTCACAACATCCGGTGGCTCTCTAGCCCAGAGTCCTAAGCCCTTCCGCATCCCTCCCGTAAGACAGTTCCAAAGGCTTAGAAAGGCTTCTCAGTACAAGTTTCTGTCTTAGTTTTGTTTCATATTGCTGTGATAAAATACTCTGACCACAGTACCATCATGGCAGGAAGTCAAGAGAAGAATGAATTCATGCATGATGCTCTGCTCTGTTCTACTACTGCACAGTACGGGTGCCCTGCCCAGGGAAGGGAGCCACCCACAGGAGCAGGTCTTCCCACTTCAATTAGCATAAGACAGTCCTCCACAGACATGCCTCAAGCCAACATAATCTAGACAACCCCTTGCTGAAGCTCCCTTGCCAGGTGATTCTAGAGATAGCCCAAGTTGACAATTAAAACTAATTAGCACAGGGATGCAGGGATAGCTCAGTGGTTAAGAGCACTGGCTGCTCTTGCAGATGACCAGGGTTCAGTTCCCAGCACCCACATGGCAGCTACCTGTCCTTAATGCCAATTCCAGGGGACACCCTCTTCTGACCTCTGTGGGCACTGCACAACATGGGTGTACTTACCTACATGGAGACAAAACACACGGAAAATAAAAATGTCAAAAATCAAAACTAATCTGCACACCATGGGGAAGGGGGACTTTTTCCACTTTGATCCTCTCTGAAACAGCTGTCTCCCCCCCTCCACTACCCTGTTGGGAAATAGAAAATATCAATTCCTATGACAGGCACACCGAAAGTCCAAGGGGTGAAAGGCACCCCCAAAGTGCTGAGAGGAAAGGACAGCCCCACCCCCAGATAGAACCCACCAAAGGGACCTTGGTGTGGCCAACTACGAGCAGCCTGGGCTACCCAGCAGCCCGGGCTACCCAACAGCCCCGTAGAGTTGAAGGCTCCTCATCAGTGGAAGTGAGGCAGAGCAGATGCACTGGGCCAGAGCCCATGAGAAGCTGTCAGACAAGGTGGGGGTGACACTGGCCAAGCAGGACATGAGGGCTCTGCCCAGAGCTTACAGAGGAGCCACAGTCCGGCTGGCACCTCCTGTTACCCACGAAGACTTCTGACCCCCTGGATGGTGAGTGTGAACAGATGATGCTTTAAGCTCCTGGGTATACAGCAGTTGGTGACAGCGACCACAGGGGATGTGCACACAGAGCTCCTCCCACTCAGACCTGTGAACCCGGTAAAAGAAGGCCCTTGTCTTCCCCAGCCAGATCCCAGTGGAGGTGGCAGCAGCCCCAGCACATTCTGCTGCACCTGTGCCTTTGAAGCCACAAGAAGCCAGAGGCTACAGTCCACTGTGCAGCTGTCACTGACAGCTGGATTTGATGCTTTCCCTGCATGCTTCTATACGATCTCATTCTAACATTAAGAGAGAAGCACACACCATGTTTGCATGTTGAGATGAATGTTCTGACAGCTGTGTTGTGTGTAATTTTTTTTTGAGACAAGGTTTCACATA